AGCTATCTCTGCGCAAGCGTCATCTGCAGCGTCACATGCGGGACGAGTGCATCGGCATACCGCCGCGTTTCAATTGTGAATTCTGCAGTTCGCGTTTCCGTCGCAAATATCACATGGTCCGGCATCTGGTCTCCAAGCATGGCATACCCCCGGCCATTGCACAACAGACGACGGGCAGCGGTTCGCGGACCAGCAGTCCGCGCAGCAACAATCTGGAGCACAAACTGAGCGCTGCTGCGGTGGGCGTGGCCGGTGGAGGCAGCAGTGTTAATGGTGGTGCCGGCGGTGGCGGCGGCAATGGAGGCATCCACAGCGACAGCGCCAGCGTGGGCAGCGCTGGCTCGCACAACGGCTGCGAGAGTCCCATACCCGAGAATCTGTCGCTGCGCAAGGAGCACTATGAGCGGGATGAGAACTTGAACGGTTCGCGCTGCACAAGTCCCTTGCCGCCGCACATGATGCCCATACCCACGTATGGGCTGACGGGTGCCATTACAGCTATTTCAGCAGCCGCTGCAGTGGTCGAGGAGCAGGCAGCCGCGGCAGCAGCAGCAGCAGCGGCGGCCGCAGCAGCAGCAGCCGCAGCTGGCAACAACAATGGCAGCGATGCAACAGCGGGCAGCGTCGCGGAATTGGCCGCTGCCGCTGAGCTGGCCATCAAGGCGGAGCCGGTGACGCCGGGCAAGGCGCAGCCGCATCATCTGCTCGACGAGGAGTGGAACATGAAGCTCGGCCTGCAGATCATATCCAATTCATTGCTCAAGGAGCGCTTGATGAATACAATGCCATTTGCGTACAACAATAACTGAAGTTGTACAATTTTGACCCTTTCTTTTAGCCCTAAAGTAAACCAAAGTATATTTGACTTAAGATTAACTAACAGGACAAACTAAACTAAAAAGAGAAGAATTATTTATATTTATTATTACCAAAACAAAGTCTTACAGCTACTTTAGTTTCATAATTTTAATTTGTGTCTGCTTAAAAACAAATGCTTTGTGTGTTTAAAGAATCGAAAGTAAAAGTAAGAAATTATAATTCCATGTATGAATCTCAGAACCTAGACATTCCAGCACCTAACTATATATTTTTGATTTTAATTTTATGTAACTTATTTTAATGTTTTCTCATTTTTTTTGCGTGCTTTCTTTAGTCAGCGAAACGTGTCTTAAAAGAAAAAAAAAAAACAAAACAAAAACAATCAACTGTATTACAATGTTACTTTGCGGTACTATTTATCCTAGAAAGAAAGAAATGTCAACTTAAAACCGAACCGTCACGAATTTGTATTGCTTAAGTCATTCCCAAAAAAACCCATATTTGTTAGAATTGTAAGATTTTGAATAAGTGATGCCATTCCAGTCGAATCTCTTTACCACGCGTAAATTGATGTTGATGTGCTATGCAGCCCAAAGAGGGACGAAAACAAACAGAATACTCAAAAGACAAGAAAGCGAAATACTCATGAATCCAAACAAAACGAAAACCCAAAAAAAAAAAAAAAAAAAAAAAACGAATGATGAGACGTTTTTTTGAAACACTTATTCCAAATGATATGCCACCAAATTGTATACCTACATTTTTAAGTAATTTTTATACGTGTATGTGAAATATTTAAAATAGTATATAAAATATATATACATATATATATATATATTTATCTGATAAACAAAAGAAAAAAAACAAAAACAAAACCAAACAAAAATTTATATTATTAATTAAATAAATCTAAAACAAAAAAAAAAAAAAAAAAAACAAAAAAAAAAGAAAGAACAAACAAATTTATTGCTGCATACGTTTTAATTAACAATATATTTCGTTTTTAGCTGGCTTTACATGTTTCACACAATATCCAATTTTGTACCCCCGCAACATTTTGCCTCCTTTATATTTATTGTTTGCTTTCTTTTTTTGTTGTTGCGTGTTTCGTTTGCTGTGAAAGAGCAACCCGAAAGCAATTGTTGTACAGAGAATTTCACTAACCTATTTTTATTACTAAATTTCTTTTAGATAAACTCTTCTACTCTACCAACTACTACCTACTACTACTCGGTACTGGCTGCAGTTCTAGGAATCTATCTATAACCAGTACCTCCCAACTATCAGTATCAATCAGTAACTGTATGCGTATACTCGTACCAGTAACCAGTACAACATCACAATACAAAAAAGTCTGTCACTTACTATAATACATATATACTTATATATATATATATATAGATCATCTATTCTGTCTGCGTCTATTTCTTGAAACTCTCTCTAAATACTTTTATATATAAATGGGTTCTACTTGTTCTAGCTGCACATATCAAAACTATTACACACACACACACACACACACACACACACACACACACCCACACACACACACCCACACACACACACACACACACACACACACACACACACACACACACCCACACACACCCACACACACACACAGAGATGTTTGTATATAGCATGCATAGAACGCCTGCTTGTATGCTGCATTAAATTGTAATTCTCAACTGGTGCGTGCATCTGTGCGCGTGTATGTGTGTATGTGTGTGTGCGGGTGTGTGTATGTGCGTCGTTCTGTGCTTTTGTGTCTTGTCCTTGCGCTACTCACACAACAAATTTAATTTTAATATACTTAAATTTATTGATATATACATATCTATATATATATATATTGTATTTGTGTCTTTTTCAAAAAATAATAAATTATTTAACACTCGATGTTTTTCTTACACAGCCTCTCTCTTTAAAACCAGCTTCAATGTTCTGCAATTGATTTTCGACAAAAAAAAAATTCGTCGAAATCGATTTGCAGAATCGGCGCTGGGGTTTTTTATGCTCTATATGTGGGTTTTTTAATGTATTTATATATATATCTATATGTGGGCGTGCCTGATGTTTTTTTCTTACCTATAAGCAAATATTTTTACTCTTATTTGTTTTTATTTGATTTTTTTTTACCCGTCAAATATTTGTAAGCTTTATGTGTCTTTATTTTTACTTGGAATGCATATATATGTATATATAATTATATATATTTTTTATGTCTTAAGTTTTATGTTGAGTTTCATGTAGTTTGACTTGCTCAAAAAAAAAAAAAAAAACCTCAAAAAGAAAATTAGTTTAAAAAAACTCAGTCAAAATTCAGTCATCAGATAACTAAATTTAAGAATTTAGAAATTGCAAAATAAGAAAAATTATATCATATCATTATATTTAACACCCAAACAAACAAAATGCAACAAATTCATCAACAACATCTTCACAAACACACACACACACACACTCTCGCGCACTGCTTCATTCACTCTTTTGTGTTGTTGTTGTCGTTGTGTGGTGTTCTCTTTCTCTCTCTCTCTCTCTCTCTCTCTCTTTCTCTGTTACCCTGTCCCGACGTGTGTTTTGGGCCAACCAAATTACTTACAGATTTCGTACTCACCTGGTATCAACATGCGTGCGATCAGTGCGGCAAATCCTACAAGACACGCAAAAGCTTGAGTCGCCACCGACGCTTCGAGTGCCGCTTTACCACAGAGAGGCCAATTTTTCAGTGCCCCAGCTGCAATTATGCGGCCAAGCGCAGCGATAATTTAACCAAACATATTAAAACTCATTTTGCCAAAATGAAAAAGGATTTCCTGCCGCTGGCATTTCAAATGCAGGCAGCCAGCATACAAACCAAATGGGAAACGGCATAAAAAAAAAAAATTACTAAAAAACAAAACGTTAAGAAACAGAAAGTAACTTCGGCATGCCGAGGCTAAAAATATTCTTGCAACAGGTGGAATCGGAAAATAATATACATAGATGCTTCTTATAAGTCATGTTATATATGTCGTTCGACCTAACTCAAGCCATAACACAACAGGCTGATATAGTTTTGACCTATCCCAATTCACAGTTTTTTTTTTAGTTCAAGCAAACAATAGTTTTTTCACAAAAAAAAAGTAGATCTCATCATATGAGGTACAGGATGTAAACTGTTTATGAAACAACTTCATTAATTTTTCCAGTTTTTTTTTTTCTCCTGTTAGCTATATAATATAGTGCTCCGATTCGTCCAGTTGGGACTCAGGCATTATCTTAAGAGCATTGAGTTTGTTTTCTCTCTCACGATTAGACGACATTTATATAGAGCAGGTCTTACAGTTTATATCCCTTTTATTCCGAGCTATTTTAGGCCTCTGCAAGGATATTCCCAGTCAGTGACAAACTTTATTCGATCTCTAAAAGTTGTCAACTATAAAATTTTAAGTACCGGGCAGCGCAACGCACAAAATGTTTCTGCCAAAAAACAAAACAAAAAACACCTGAATAGCGCACACTTGATGACATTTCATTCCCTTTACTTTGGTGTTTACCTTAATTTTGCATATTTAAACTTTCATTTGGTGGCCAGAGATTTGCATGCGAAATTTATTTTTTGCATAAATTTGTTCAATTTATGTAAATCGAATGCGGCAAAGTTTCCGAAAATGTGCTGCGACTTTTGGCCGACATTTGAATTAGTTTCTGTGTGCAATCAACTTTGCGTACTTTGTTTTGTGCGTTGCAATCCCAAAAAACAAACAAAAAACCAAAACAAAAAAAAAAACCAGCAGCCAAAAAAAAAAAACCTATATTTACTCATTTGTTAGCCTTAAGTTGATCAAGAAAAAAGCAAACAAATTTAAAGCCTAAGTTAATTTCTAATATATATTTTTAGCACTCTAAGCCAAAAGTCCAAAGAGAAATGTAACCGAAACTAAGTCAAACGCATTTAAAGCAAAAACTATTAAAAAAAGAGTTTAAAATATTTAACTAGACTACTGAGAGTAGTAACAGGTTTTACCAGGGGGGTTGCACTTAAGAGGCAATTTCGTAACGTCGCATTCCTAAGCAAAAAAGAAAAAGAATAAAAATTAAATATATATATATTTTTAAAAAAGAAAATCAAGTGAAAACAAATGTTTGATATGTAGTTTAGTTAAGCAACGGCAACGCCAAATTCAAAAGAAAAACAAAGTATTATACTAAAAAAAAGAAAATCAACTTAAAATTGTATGTAGCTTAGTTGGAGAGCTGTAAAATGTAAGTTCCTTGCTAGCTTAGAAATACTTTTTTTAAGATAAACATATATTTTTACTAATATTATTATATGATGATGTTCATACAACTAACAAACAAAACAAAGCGATCTCAGCAAATACAAATGAATGCAACCAACAGTACAATTTATAAAAAAAAAAAAAAACAAACAACAACAAATACTTACAGCAAATAGTTCAAATATATATTTACAACAAAAAACAGCCAAAAATAAGGAGAAACAAAAGTCAATTGCCTAACACAAAAAGCTGAGAGCTCAGCTCTGGTCATTTAAAGCTGGCAAAATCTATGATATAATGCTTTGGAATTCCATCTAAAACTTGTGTGATATAGATTTCGCTCAGTTATTAACCGAACCAGCTGTGTACTTGGCTTAAAACAGTTATTAACCATGCTTAGTTCAAGTTTATAATGTATACAGTTTCAAGTTGATATTGAGCGCACTTAAGAGAGGTCTTTAAAGCACACAAAACACTAAAACACATACAACTTTTTTTTTTGTGAAAAGAGTATATTTTGTAAAACATTCCAAATATTTTAAATAGTTTAAGGATGTGGGGATTACAAAGACTATGTTCGAAATGTTGACTGAAATTATACGAAGGTCTCGAGTGTTGTGAATGTGAAGCGAATGATTCAAAGTATTTGAAGTGTTGCGAATGTTTCAAGCTTTTCAAATTGGTGCAAATGATTCAAAGTATTTGAATTGGAGCGAATGATTCAAACTATTCGAATGACTTAAAAGATTGAAGCGAATGTTCTAAATGCCTCTGCTTTCATTTCATGTATTCATATTCATAAACCTTCAAGTCAAACAGTCACAACTTTCATGCCACACATGACTTCTAAAAACTTTTCAACTAAATTTACTTAATTCACATACACTCAAACATGAATACACATACATACAAATACATTTGTATTTTCATATAAATTTTATGCTAATCACTAAAAAACAAAAGAAAAACTATTTTTATACACATTGTCAAAGAGCATAATTAAGTATTTTTATAAATATATATATAAACATATATACATATACACACACACATATATATATATATACATAAATACCGCTATTTTTGTATGTAACTGAATAAATTTGTAACAAAATCAAATTGTTATTTACTGTTTATCATATGAATATTTAATTTTTAGTTACGTTTAGTTATTTTGTATGCGGGTTGCATTTGCATTTTTCTACTCTTTTTTTTCGCCTACTAAACATGTTTCATTGCAGCAGCCATTAAAACCAAAAAAAAAAAAACTCAAAAAATATGCATCATCATTCACACAGCGCCCCATTTAAAGTATCGCAAGTATATCGCCTCCTCTATACATATGCGAAACGTGTACATAATCAAGCTGTCTCTATCATCAACCACTGCAACTGCTCTCTGCATCAGCTCAGTATCAGCCTCACGCTTCATCAACAAACAAAACCACCAACAGTCCATCAATCAATCAATCAATCAACCAATCAATCAACCAACAAGCAAATTGAACACAATAAAAAGTTGCATACCACACACTAATTGTAAATATCACCTTTTTATTATTCTTATAATTATTATATTAATATATAAATACATAATTTTTAATTTTTATGCCTAAAAACACTTTTAACAGCAAAATACCAAAATTAACTAAAATTTTATCTAAAAAAAAAAAAAAAAAAATATGAAATCTTGTTACTTTTTTTTTATTCAAAAAATATAAATATAAGAGAGCTGTTAACAATATATGAAATTTTTAAATATAGAATTTACAGCTCTGTTATAATATATCTAAAAAAAAAAAAAAAAAAAAAGAACATAAGTTATATATCTTTTGTCTAGTTGTTTAAGCTTTAAGAAACACAATTCTCGTAACTGATTCAAGTTTTTCTTTGTTTCTTTCCTCCCTCTTTTTTTTTTTTTATTGTTTTTAAAATCGTTGCCATCGTATATTTGATTTGATTATATTTTATTATTGTAGCGCCCGGCAGCTACGCCTCCAACTCCAGCCAAACGCCGCCGCCAACCAGCTCGGCGGCGCATTCACTGATCCGGGACTATTGGTATGAGCTGAAGTTTTCGGATTTATTCAAGTTCATAAATCCGGATGGACGCTATCAGTGCCCCAGATTCAATTGCCTGAAGAGCTACAAGGACGCCAGCTCATTGCAACGACATATCAGGTGAGTTGTCTTTCTTATTATTTACACTCCTTAGATACATATAGTTATATCTGTCTGTCGCGTCTGTCTGCTGTCTGCAGTTAAACTAATGTTTTTCTTTATCATATGTATACGAAACTCTTTTTTTCTGTAGATATGAATGTGGTGGACAGAAAAAATTTCGCTGTCTGATGTGCGGCAAAGCATTTTCACAAAGCTCCCACCTAAAGCGGCACCTTGAGTCCGGTGTCTGTGTCAAATATTACTTATGAGATAATGTATTCTTTAAAATCAAATAGAATAAGCGTTATCCGCATAGGCAAAGTGCAACATTTTGTTGAGCAAAACCAAAAACAAAACCGTAAATTCAAAAATAATTATTATGAAAACAAATATGAAAATTGTAACTACCAAAAAAGAAAAAGAACAAGAAAACCCAATAACAACAACACACTCACACACTCAAGAACAACAACAAAGAGAACAAACATAACAAAACAGTTAGTTGAAGAAAGCAATTGAATATTATATATATATATATGTATATATATTCATATACCATATATAGAGAGAACAAGTAGCTAAACCAAGAACAATTACAAATAACAACAACAAAACGAATTTATTGGATGCCACATCATTTATAAAGAAAAACAAAAAAAAACTTAAAACAAGAAACAAGCCCATATACATGCATATATACATACGATATATATATCTAGTATATACAATACATATTATGATAATATGAACAAGAACAAGTTGAGAATTATTGTTGACAACTGAGCATTAAAAACCAGAATTAGCTAAAATTAACAAACTGAAGAAAACAGCGTAGCTATTATAATATATTTAACAAGCTAGACAGATATATATATATATATATACATATACATATATACATATGTATAGCTGCAGTCAGTGCAACATTTTATAGAATTTTAGTAAAATTAAAAAACAAAAAAAACGTAAAAAATTACGAACCAAAAAAAAAAAAAAATAATGAAGAGCTAGTAAAAATTTGTATTGAGAGGCCGTAACAAAGCACACACACATTATAGAAAAAGAACAAGAAGAAGAAGAAGACGAGCGAGATGAAGAAGAAGAGAAGCTAAGAGCAACAACATTTTAGTCAAACTAACCAAAACTACGTAATTTTAGTCGAGAGTGCAAAAACAAAAGAAAAATAACAACAAAAAAAAAAAAAAAAACACAGAAAAAACGAGCAGCAACTTAGTAATATTAACAGAAAGAAAAGTAAATAATAAAAATAATAACAATAATTATAGTAATATATAGAGAGAAACAATTGCATTATATAAACAAAACAAAAACAAAAACAAACAAAAAAAAAACACTGAAAACAAAAATACATATAACAAAACGTACTGTGTTTATTTGTTGCCAAATATATATCTATATATATTTCTAATATATTATTGAAAAACAAAAACCAGAACAAAATGATTAATAATTAATTATAATAATTGCAAATTTCAAAGAAGCTAAAAGCCAATACAACAACAACAACTAAACCGCGAACTATGTTTAACTAAATCGATTACAGAATACAAAACATATATGTATGTTATGTTATATACACTATCGTTATATATTGATATATATATATATATATATATATGTTTATGTTGCAAGCAAAATCATACATACATATATATACCCACACATATATATCTATATATATGGATACACCCACACATGCGTATTGTATATGTCGAAATGTGAATGTTTGTTATAAAACAAAGTAAAACCAAACTAAAACATATAACAGCGAGTTTTCGGCAAGCCGAACTTCAGCATACCCTTGCAGCTTTTATTTTTAATATATATATATATATATATATATATATATATATATATATATATATTTATACATATATATATATTTATACATATATATATATTTATACATATATATATATTTATACATATATATGTATATTTTAAATAGACCAAAACTATGGCAGCTATAATCCTTTAGCGATCTGATTAGCTTCGATTCATTTACAAGTTTTATCCTTACTCAAGAGTCAAGTTCTACCAAAAGCCAAAAGACTAGATGTACAGTAGAACCTACCTATGCGAACTCAGCTACAGTCTTATATATATACATATATCGTTTAACTTAAGGAATATCTTTAGCTTATGTCAGTCAATCATAATACTCTCTCCCCCCACCTGCAAGGGTATACAGATTTGTTGTGTTATATAGACGAAATGCAACCAGAATTGCAGCTGGTAAAAAACAAAAAAACAGATATTTTTAGTTAGTTATAGAACTAAAATGCAAAGAGGCCAAACGATTTGTTGGTTCACAGAACAAAAGTTTATATACATACATACACACAACATATACATATTAACATAAAAAATACACACATCTATTTAAAAGAAATGCTATGTTAGCAAATTTGTTGTCTGTTGTTGCAAAAATGTAAAGAAAATGTTATTACAAAAATTGTTTTTTGTAACTTGTACTCACTGTGTGTTTAAGTGTGCCTGTGTGTGTGTGTGTGTGTGTGTGTGTGTGTGTGTGTGTGTATGTGAATGTGTGTGTGTGTGGCAGCATTGGATTTGTGTGCAGAACGTGTGTGCCATTATGTAACTGGAAAACTCCAAAAAAAGAGATATATTTAAAATATATATATATATATATATAAATATTACACTCAGCCGTAACCAAATGAAATTACAATTCAATGCTGCCCAAAAGTAGAGCAAAGCGTGAGAGATCAAAACATATAAACACATATACTCATGAGTTAAGCAGAATATATATGTATGTGCTGAATTACATATATATATATTTTTGTTGTACAACAGACGCGCGCCCCGCCCACTCCGCAAAACTCTTTAGTTTTTATTGGTCTTTTGTTAAACTCTTTTAGTGCAATCTAATAACAAATTATTGAGGAAAAAAAAACAAAACTAGTTAATAGCCCAACAATTGCAAACTAAATTGTATTTAACAAGTACAATAATAAGAAGAAGATGAAGTAAAACAGTAACAAAAACATATACCGAACAATGTTATAAATGAAAAAAGGAAAATAATATTAACAAGAAAACGCTAAGAGTGCCATTAAAACAATTTAAATGTAATAAATTATTGAAATTATACATATTAATATACATATATGATAATTGGATACATATATATATATATATATAAACAGAACTTACTAAGGCAGGCAGTTAAAGTGCAACTAAAAACACTTATATATACATTATACATAAGCATGTATATATATATATTTTAATATATATATATGTGTGTTAGTTAGGTCCAACCATTATAACGTAAATAACTTGTTTTCATTGTATTGGTTTTTGTTTTTAATCAATTTTGCTTGTTAATAATATTTTATGTTATTGTTGTAGTCAAATATTGCAAAACATACAGACAGTACAATAAACCATAAAATTAGATTTAAGGCTGACGGTGCAAAAGGCACGAGAAGCGCAGAGCACCAAGAAGCGAACTTGTTTCGTGCCATCAGCTATACGAGAAGAAAAGTTAGGAAAAGAGAGATTATCGTGAAAGTGTAAGCGAAGGGAGAAGCGTTAGGCGCCTTAGGAAGTTCAAGCTTAAAGAGAAGCAAGATGCGTGAAATAAAATCTCTAGAAGCACTAAGAGGGAGAAGCAAAAAAAAGAAGTTCCAAAAGCCCTTCTCGCGGTTGTTTGAGCGTCAGCCTACAACAGGCATGAGAAGCGCAGAATAGCAAGAAGCGAACATAATTCGTGCCATCAGCAAGGCGGAAGGAGAAGTAAAAACTCCTAAAAGTGTAAGCGAAGGGAGAAGCGTGAGGCGCTCTAAAAAGAATAAGCGAAAGGAGAAGCTCAAGCAGCAAGCTAGGTACAAATATAAAGAAGCGTTAAAACAAATTTCTCTAGCCTAGATATTAAAAGCTTATAAGAGTGAGAAGCAAAAATAAAAGATAAATAAGTTCCGTGAGCGCTTCTCGCGTTCCTTTAATCGTCAGCCCAGCAATTAAACAGAAATAGCAATAACAGATAGTTAAAGCTCGAATTGAATATAGACAACATAAACTTAGTAAAATTAAACACTTAAACAATAAACAATTAACAATACCAATGCAAATTTTCATTACTTTATAACAATTGATTTTTCGTCAATTTGGTTGTCAATTTGCTTATTTCAAATTAGTCCAATGAAATTTTATTTTATCTTTGCAATTTGTCCTGTGTGCCAAATTCGTGTCAATTGCAAAGTACCAAAAAAAATATAATAATAATAATATTAAAAAATCTAATCAAAATAAAAAAAAACTATATTAGCACATACGACAAATTGTTAAAATTGTTTGGCTAAAAAAAAAAAAAATTAGGTAAATTTTTATATATATAAAATATATTTATGTAGCCTATACTAAAATAATTTGTTAAACTAATTAACTAAGGTTTTTGTTGCACGTTCATTGAATTAGCTAAATTATTATTATTAATTTTTTGTTTGTTGCGCTGTTAAAGCTTAGACTAATTTTAAAAAAAGCCAGAGCTATACAAAAAAAAGAAACATCAAATGTTTTTTGTTTTTAACATATTTTTTTTTTAACATTTTTGTTGCATCGTTTTTAATATACACACACACATATATACTGATAAAAGAAATTGTCTTTGATTTTTGTTCATTAATTTAACAACTAAGTTTTAACGTGTTATTGTTAATTAATATTTATAAAATAGTTTAAAAGAGAAATGAAAACAAAAATATAAAAAAAAAAATGTTAGCCTAAAGCATAAGTTACAAAATAATGAACAAAATATACTCCAAAGAAACCAACCAAAAAATATATATACAACAACACATACATATATACAAGGACATATACATAAAAAATAAAAATAAAATTAAAATAAATGAAAAGAAAAGTAAATGAACAAACCCAGAACAAGTTTTAGTAAAAGTGTATTTGGAACAAAATTGCCATATAATGAACATTAAATATATATATTATTATATATATATCTATATATATATATATAAATAAATATATAGTCAAACCAAAAGAGCAGACATATAAAACAATAATTAACAGAACAACAAAAAAGAAGCAAAAGGAAAATGTAATTATAACAAAACGAATGTTGTTTATTTTTTGTAGCGTAATATTAAACAAAAAAAAAAAAAAAGAAAAGAAATTAAAAATGTTTATATAAATATATATATATATACATATATATATATCTATATATAAATATATACATATATTTATTGTTAACGAATACCACGGAAAAGGCGAAACAGAAATTATGAAACAAATTTATATAAAAAGCAAACTTACATTGACGAAGCTGATATTGTTAGTACCTTAAACAACATGAAAACAACAACAACAACAACAGAAACAACAACAATTAATATTATTAATAATTGTAATAATAATTATAACAAAGTAGCATTAAACATTATTATAATAATATAATGTTGTCATGAGAGCATATATATATATATATATACATACATATATATAGAAAACTCAAAATGAAAATGTAAACAACATTTGAGATTCTGTTTTTTAGGACAATTTGAGCAAACAAAAAAAATTAAGAAAATACAAGCAAAACATCAGCGTGAAAATTGTTATTTTTGCAAAAACCGCAGAACAAAGAAAAGGCATTATATGCATTGTTTATATACACAACATGTTTGAATTTGATGCATGATGGTAACAAACAAAAACAAAAAAAAAAAAAAAAACGTAATAAAGATTGATATTGAAATGTTGAAACCCAAAAAAAAAAAAAAACAAAAATGTGATATGTTTTTATTGGTAATTGGTGCGAAGTTGGGGCTTAACTGGAAGTTCTGTTAAAAATTGAAATTAATTATGTTAACAATTCTTTCTATTTCCACAGATGTTAACCGGCTGTGTCGCTGCTTTAGAACGTGAATGTGTGTGCGCTTCTTTTTCCTTAAATTATTATAACAATATTTTCTTATAGATATTTACTTAACACTTAAGTTATTAGTCAGGTCGATTGTGCAGGTGCACAATTGCTACCGTTATGTGCATAGTAGACGGTACTACCTGCGGCTATGTTAAGTTTTAATTCAGTTTTAACATAGTTGGGTACTCACAGTGTTTTCGTTAACAGCGCGCTTAAATGTTATTTACATTTTTTAAAGTGTTTTTTATCGCGTTTAAAGTTATTTTTTTAGGCGCTGTGATTAACCCAATTTCCTTAAATGTATTTTTAAGACGAGTTTTTCAAGGCTGGTAAGAGTTTTTTTTTAAATTATTTTCTAAGTTAGTTAGAGTTTTGATTTTGAATTAAATTAGCCAATTTTGATCTATTTTGTTAATATGAATTTGAGTAACTAGTTGTTAATTATTTGTTCTTTTTTTGTGTGTATGTATGTATGTCTCTTTGTAAGCTTTTCAGTACTGACCTGCCCAAAACTGCTCTACTCTATCGCCTCTGCCTAGTGCCAAATGGTTGCCCGGTAGTTATATACGCTCTATAGATATATACACATTTGTATTATATATTTTTCTTTTCTACTGCCTTACTTTAGCTAAAGACTCTCATATCATCAACTTCATTCCTATCAACCGTTTCGTTCGTTTTTGTTTTAGTTTGCTTTCTTTTTAAAGCTTTCGATACAACTATTAACCTATTCTCTTTCTCTGTTATCCTGTTGTAGAGAACACCTGGACGCTGGCTGTGAAGTCGGTTACATCGCTGAACAATATTGCCACAACGTTGCAGCATGCCGCGGAGGCGCCACTGCTGGCCAGCTCGCAGCACATTTGTCCGCGCTGCGACAAGGCCTACACGTACAAAAAGAATCTGTGGCGACACCTGCGCTTCGAGTGCGGCAGATTGCCAACGGAGAAGTGTCAGCATTGCCACTATGTGGCACGCTACAAGCACAGCCTCAATATGCACATGAAGACGCAGCATTCGGATCAGACAGCGGGCGGTGTGGCACGCGGTCTCTTTCAGGCCCAAACGCACGGCAAGTTGGTCTAAAGGGACAAGCTCTTTGTGCTTTGATCTCAGTTATATGTGTCTCTCTCTCTCTCTCTCTCTGCATATAGAGAGCTATTCTATATAGATATTTGCGTGTGTTAGCAGCAGGTAAGTTAAAATCTAAGTCGCAGCCATTGTGTATATCAAAAGTCTATACGAAAATTTAAATTGCTCTCTTTAAAAGAAATATAAAATACATATCAACGAAAATTGTTTTAATAAAAACTGCCTTTTGTAACAAAATTGAAATGTGTCATTATTGAATTTCTTTAGAGCATAAGCAGCGTTTCATAATATTTATTTAGGGGCACGGTTTTTAAATAATTATTAAAATATTTTTGTTCTTTTATTATGTTAATTTTTTTGTTTTTGTTTTTATACATATCTTTTCTGGCTTTGGTGTTTAATTTTATATATAAATATATATATACAGCCGCACACAAAGCTTATGTATAAATTTATAAATATGTATAATATTTAATTAATTTAAGCAGCGATAATTTGTTTGCTTGTTTTTATATCAAATTGTAAAAATATAACAAAAAGAAGAAAAACGAAAACTTAACCCAAGACAGGATACGTTTTTGAGCTGAGCAAAAAAGAAACAGAGTGAAGAGAGTATGTGTGTATGTGTTTGTACTACGCCTAAGAAGTGGTAAAAGACAATAAATTTGTGCCACACACAAACAACAATTAATAATGCAAATCTTTTTGCCGCCATGCCCACCCCCCTCTGTTCCCCGTTTCCTTCAATATGTTTTCACAGCAGCCAAACAGGACAAGTCGGAACAAACTGAGGGCACACCCGATGAATTCGAACTGGACGATTGCCTGCTGGAGAGCAACGATATTGTCATCACACAGAACAAGGATGGCTTTGTGCTGCACGTCAAGAAGCTGGGCAACATCACAGCTGCCAAGCTGGGCACCACCGAGGAGGACCAAACGGCGGCAGTCACCGTCACCGGACCCGCTGGACAGCCGACCCAAACTATAACCGAGCTGCTCAGCGCGGCGGCGCACAGCACGGATGTGAAGCCCACGTTGACGACATTGACGAACACGCCCATCAAGTTGCCCTCATCAGAATGCGGTAAGTTAAATCTTAACAAAACACAATATATAATATGAAAAATGACTTCATTAAAAGCCTCATTTTTGGTGGATAACTTTAAATTAAGTTCATTTCAAAGTTATATAAATGAATTCGAGATTTCGATTTAGATTATTTAATAGAATAATAATATAAAAAAAAATTATGAGAAAATATTTGATAATGGTTTAAGTTCATATGCTAAGGTTAAATGAGCTGAGCATCGAGAGAAATTAATGACAGGCTAAAGTAATAAATACCTATTGGCCAATTTGTTACCTCTTACTAATAAGAAACTATATTTTAACTTGCAGAGCTTATCAACATCAAGAAAATCATACCATCAACATCTACATTGGCGACGCATAGCAGCAGCAGCAGCGGTGGCACAACCACCATTATACATCCGCACCACATTATACAACACGTGACGCAGGAGACGCAACAGCAGCAGCAGCAGCAGCAAACACCCCAGCAACATCATCCTCATCATCATCAGCAGCAGCAACAGCAGCAACAACAACAACAACAACAACAACAACAACAACAACAACAACAACAGCAGCAGCAGCAGCAATTGCACATTGAGGAGGTGCCACAAAGCTCGCATCATCATCATCAGCAGCAGCACCACCAGCTGCATCAAGGCGCTCAGCAAGTACAAAGCATAATAACATCCCATACGGGCCAGACCATCAATTTGGTGGGTCTGCGCAATGTTCAAATTGGCGAACAGAAGCCGAACATTGCCTCGCGCATACGATATTCGCGTGGCAAGATTATTGCGCCGACCGTTAGCAATTTACAGATTGTGGAAACACACGAGGCCATACCGCATCAGCACCACGAGCTGGCCGATGGCACAAAGTATGAGATTAGCGAAATAGATCTGAACAATCCGAATGCATCGGCGGCAATAATCAGCGATCTGGTCAAGTATGCTGAAATCGATGATATCGAGCTGCCGGATGGTACCAAAATTGGCATTGGCTTTGCGCCCTCCGAGATCACCGAGCACATGCAGACAACGGCGGGCGAGACGCACATAACCACCATTGAGCATGAGCCGCAGGAGCTGCAGGTGCATCAGCATGAACAGCAGCCGCAAACGCATCACATACATGCCTCACAGCTGCAGACGCATCACATACATCCGGCAACGGTAGTGCAGCAGCAGCAGGAGCAGGAGCTGGAGCATCAACAGCAGCAGGAGCATCATCACATCCAGCTGCAAGCGGAGGATGATGACGGTGTCGAGACCATAATACCCGAAGAGCTGGGCGTACATGATTCGAGCAAGAGCTATACCATTTTGACCACACGCCCCATGAAAGAGGAATCGGATGCTGGCGGCGATCCCAGTGGCATGACCTATGAGCTGTCGTTGAGCGACTCCTCATTGGGTCCCTGCGACGATCCCGAATCGCGTTACGTTTGTCGGCATTGTGGCAAAAAGTATCGCTGGAAATCGACGCTGCGCCGTCACGAGAATGTCGAGTGCGGCGGCAAGGAACCGTGTCACCCATGTCCCTACTGCACCTACAAGGCCAAACAGCGTGGCAATCTGGGCGTGCATGTGCGTAAACATCATCCCGAAAAGCCTCAGCTGGAGAGCAAGCGGGGACGCAAGATCTAAGAAGGGGGCGTGAGTACCACACAAAGAACAGTAGCAACAAAAAATACCAGTTTTCATTATTCTTCTACATCCGAACTATATATATACTATATCATATATATACCATTTATTATGTATTTTTGATTTTTCTCGAGCCTCAATTTTGATAATTGATGCGATTTGCTTAGTTGTTGATTATTTGCTTAAGTTCAAACTTAACTTTTAATATCGTGTATGTTTTTATCATGGCAAAAACATGAAAAACAAAAAAAGAAACAAAAACCCATTTCATAATTTTCAAAATCTTACTTTTTGTTCGGGCTTTAATTGATGTCTTCACGTATAATTTTCATTATGATTGCCGTAATTTCAAAAATTACATTTATTTCGTGTTGCCGCAGAAGAAAAAATAATTCAAAATGAAAAATACAAAAACAAAAAAATATACCAGAAATCATGTGCAAGTATTTTCATGGAAATAACAAAACAGAAATATTGTTAACCCAAATGAAAAAATATTAAAAAAAAAAAACACAAAAATTTATAGTTTAGAATTGAGTAGGTTAAATTTTAAATACATTTCAAATATAAATTAAACGCATAACATCTAAATGTCTTCGCAGAAAGTACAGTACCTAGCAAATCTATAAATATGTGTAAAAAAAAAGAAGGAACGGAAAGTAAACAAAACAAATTTAAGATAAATACACAAACAATGTTAAAGTGCACAGTGTGTTTTTTTACATATATAAATTTAAAACAATTTCACAAAAAAATATGTTAGTTGCAAAACACACAAAAAAAAATATTATTACAAACAAATATTGTCTGGATTGGAGGCTTATCGTATTCATAAATTTGTCACATGTTGTTTTTACAGTTCACAAAAAAATTATTAAATAAAAAACAAACATATTTTATATAAAATTGACGCTAAATTTTGAACAAAAGGTAAAACCCTTAAAACTATTGTGTGTACTACGGTAGTTGCAATCGAAGCAGCCGCAACCAAATTGAAAGAACTTTAATTACAAAAACAAACACAAAACTTAGTAAAATTGATTGTACTATATGACACATTTAAGCCACAAAACTTCTTAGCATATATTTTCGCGTATCAAAAAATATTCAATTTAATTCAAGAATTTTACAAAATTTACAAGTAAAAAAAAAAAAAAACAACAAAATTGTATGTACAACATTTTAATTCATGCTAAACATTTATTATGTATACATATATTAATTATAATAATATATAGAAATTATATATTTTGAAAATAGTTGTAACAATAAACGTAAACAATAAATTTCAAAAAAAAATAAAAATAAAAATAAAAATTGTCCATTTGTTGCTTTATTTAATCAAACATTTATTTAATGCGAACATTACTAATATATTTCTCTTTCTTACAGGTAGACGTGCAGCGCGCCAGCAGCAAGCCGTTTTTTCAAACCCAACTATAAAATACCCTGTTTTTTAGTTGACATTTCGATTAATATATTTCTCTTTTTTCTAGGTAACTGCGAGGAAACTGTGGAAAACCGCCGAATGCGAAAAACTGTAATAATGTTTGCATATTACCTAAAGAAATGTGACGAACAGTTACGAAAGCAAGCTCTAACTATATAAGTACCTACATCTTAAGTAATTGTTTTCTGTATATGCCACTAAAAAAAAAAAAAAAAAAAAATAATAATAACCAGCAATTGCCAAACCTCTTCCCCGCCCGTGTGTGTGTATGTGTGAGTGTGTTGTGTTTCCAGCTGCTGCGTGCAACACCATATAAAAAAAAACCAAACAATTCAAGAACGTTTAACTTAATTTTTGTGACCTTTGCAGATGTATTTATATGAAAGTCGTTACTAAAATATTATATATATATAATATAGGCGTATATACTCATGACTGATTAGATGCAAGTTGAGTCAATTTATCTACTTGTCTATTTCCAGACACTACAATCATATTAAAATTAGGCTGTATTTTAGTTATCGCATTATTATAAAGTATATAATTGTATTTCAAAGCTTATAAGAAAAGTTTTTTTGAAAGGTCTATTTGTCTGCTTTTATAATACACTTGTTACCTATACTACCCAGTACAGCTAGAATATGATCTATTTACTGAAGATCTATTTACTGAATAGTTCTTATAACATCTAAATTCGAGTTCATAAATTTGTCTGCTTTTATAATAAATCGTTACCTATACTACCCAGTACAGTTAGCATATATAAAAAAATCCTTCTATTTTCTGAAGACATCAGGTATTTTAAACAACTAACTGAAAACTAGCTATGGGTTGTATAGCTAGAACGCAAATCAGATTTCATTTTAACATCACATACATTTGTTTTTTGACAAATTGATTTTCCTATAAAATATATCTGCCAGGGTTTTATATATGTCTACGGCATATCCTAGCCAGCTGTTCCTCGTTATTATAATATATATATTTTTTTAATTTTTAAAAATTAATAAATATGTTTATACACCCTGCACTAATTGGCTCTCAATGAAAGCGTTTTTTGTTTACCTTGTTTGTGCACACATACTTATGTATGTATTTATATACATGTATTTACATACACATGTCTGTATGTATATAGCGAAGCTACATATTTATTTTATTATTTTTGTACATATCTATATATTATATTGTTTATGTGTATTTGCAAATTCACGCTCTAATTTTTAATGCTTTTTAAAACAAATATTTTTTAGGCTTTGCCGCTTCACTAATATATAATTATATTTTTTTTTTTTTGGAAAATTGCTTCAATGTTTGTTGTGCTCATCTAATCATTTTTTGTATCACTAATTTTCCATGCATCATCAACATTTTAGTTTTTCCTTTTACCCTTTATTTTTGGCACTGGTTTAACCGAACCGTTTGTTTTCCTGCCCCCCACCCCTCTATACATCCGTTAACCGTTTATTGTTAAGTTTTGTTACGAGTTTCCCTATTTTTTTCTTCCTATTTGTTTTTTTTTTTCATGTTCGGTTAATTTAACTTTTGCGTTGCATTGTGTCCAGTCTCAAAAGTAATGCTATTGATTTTCGTTCTTCTTTTCTTTTGTTTTTTTTTCTTTTCTCGTTTTATTTTCATATGTTGTATGGCTGACCAACCCTCTCTTCACACAAAAACCAACAACAACAAAAACTACAACATATATGCACCTACAACAAAAACACGAAATAAAATGTTAAAAAAAAAAATCCAATATAAAAACGAAAACAAAAAACAGATTTGAGTATTACGCGCATTGCGGGACTCACCTGGAACGAGTGGAACGCTCGCCTGGCCATGCCGCTGGTAACGCTGCGCGAGGGCGTCCAGCCCTTGGTCTTTCCCACCGATCTGTCGGTGGACAAGCAGCTGAGCTTGGCTGGCATCAAGGGCGCCGCCGCCGCGGATGCCATTGAACGCAAAACGCCGACGGATAGCATTCGTTTAAAAATCGAGCCGGGCACCACGTCGACGCCGTGCAACACTAGCGAAAAGCAGCACAAAATCTATCCCGGCGGTGGCAAGCTGAAGCACCTATCCGAGGAGGAGGCCACGGCGCTGATGCTCAAGGCCGTTGCAGAGAAACAGGCGGCGGCAGCAGCGGGCAACAACAGCGCCGATCTGAGCTATGGCGACGAGAATCTGAGCTCTGTTGGCGGCAATGGCAACAGCAGCAGCAGCGATTATCCCATCACGCTGACCGGTGCCGTATCCCTGGCCGATGTCGGACCGGCTGGACTATGCCATATCAATATATTGAATAGCATTAGCGCCATGAACAATCTCATCAGCGGCAGCACAGCAGGAGCTGGCAGCAGCACGGGCGCTGGCAGTGGCAGCAGTGCTGGCAATCTGAGCGTCACATTAAGCGCCGCAGGAGCCGGTGGCAGCAGCAGCAACAATAGCTCCCTGGCTGGCGCTGACAACGGTGCTGGACACCCATGTCCCGTTTGCGGACGCGTCTATAAGCTGAAATCATCGCTGCGGAATCATCAGAAATGGGAATGCGGCAAGGAGCCGCAATTCCAGTGCCCATTCTGCGTCTATCGGGCCAAGCAAAAGATGCACATTGGCCGCCACATGGAGCGCATGCACAAGGAGAAATTCAAGCTGGAGGATGACAAGAGTTTCATCAGCGGCATCATCAACGCCAGCGGCGGCGCCTCCAGCGTCAGCGGCATGGACGCTGACTCCGCCGTTGGCAGCGCTGCGGCTGCGGTGGCAGCAGCTGCTGCGGCCGCGGCGCTGGCCAATGCGCCGGAGCTGCACACGCATTTCTCATGAGTGGGAAATGTGTCAAATGGAAAACGCATTGGGAAATGGATTTGTGTATAAAGTGTTGAAGTTGAATAGAGACACACAGTTATTAAATGGAAAAACTAAATATCAGGGATTACAGAAACAAAACAAGCAAGTAATATTGAAATTACATAAAAAGAGAAAAAACCACACACACATGTGTGTGTGTGTGTGTATTTGTGTGTGTGTGACGGTAGTCAAACAACAACAGTAACAACAACAACAAGAACATAACAACACACCTAGCTCGGGGTTTCTTTTATGGAATACGGAATCAGTGTGCCAAATTAATATTAAAAAAAGAAAAACAACAAAAGTTAAAGAAAACCTAACAAAGCAAAAAAAATAATAATTAATAAGAATGCCTGGAAAATTGTAAAAATTTTCGAAACGAAAACAAAAAACAAAAAACAAACAAAACAATTTGTTGCAAAGCACAAACAAAACAAAACAAATTTAGCCATTTTATTTTTTTGCATAAAACATATTTTTTGTTATTGTTATTAATTTTTTAACAAAAAAAAAAGAAGTCAAGTGCACAAGCAAAAATCTTTTTTGAAAAAATATTTTTGTTACATTAAACAGCAAAGTGATCAGTAAAATGATTTTACACACACAAACAAAAAAAAAACACACAATTTAAAACCGCATTCCACAAGTTAGAAAAAAACAAAAAAAAAACAAAGAAAAGACACATATTGTACAATGAAACATTAAATTAGTTAGCTAAGAGTTAGGATTAGTCGAGATATATAATGTTTATATATATATATATATATATATATATATATATATATATATATATATATATATATATATATATATATATATATATATATACATACAAAAACTAGGGTTTAGAATGAACGCGGTGCGAGCAGTCAACTCAGTGGATAGTCTTTTTTATATAAAGCTTTTCGAACTCAGAGCATATTAAGATATTAGTTAAAGGAAACAATCACAAAAAGAACGAAACTTTAAAGAGCTATAGAGCATTAGATATTCACATAAACATTTCAGTGCCAAAACCAACTATATAGAAGATACCTAAAACAAACAGTACAGTTACAGTTACAATTCATAAAACATAAACAACAACAAGTTACCTCAGATAAACAACAACAACAACAAAAAACATATTGCTAACAACAATATATTAGTCTAATGGCTTTAAACTATGCTCAAAAATTGCTTAGGTGTTTTTTTTTTTTAAATACAGTTTAGTCAAGCAAAAGTGAAAAGAGAAACTTAAAGACAAGTTTAAAAGTGCCTTTTGAAATTGGAAATATATATAATAACAACAAAAAAAAATACAGTATGTGCTTGTTAAAAGATATGCACTAGAAGAAAACAAAAAAAAAAAAAAAAGAGGAAAAATGATAATAAGCAAAATCTAACACTTAAAAGCCATATCAGTTAGTTGTAAGCTGTATCTTAGGTCAAGTCAGCTAACAAGTGTGTCAAGTATAATATTATTATTAATACTATATTCTATTTTTTTTTTTTGCGAGACCACATGATACACATTTAAACTCAGGTACTTAGTTTTGTGTTTCACAATTAGGCAGGAAACCAAGAAAAAACAGGCGCGCGCGTAGCTGAGCTACTTCGGGGGTTAAGCCCAAGACAAATTGAAAACAAAATAAATAATAATAACATTTTAAAATATAAAACAACTTCAAGCAAACAAAAACACCGCCACAATACGTCACATGCACTTATTTATTTTTAATATTTATAAAACAAAATATATATATATACATATATATATTAAAATAATATATTATAATTTGTACGTTCTTTTTTGCTCGTAAAGCGTAATTTATTTTTAGTTTTCATTTTACAACTTTATATTCTATTAAAAAAACAAAAACAAACTACAAAAAGCAAATACATTCCATAGATGATTTTATAAACAATTAAGCTTAAACAATATAAAAACAAAAAAAAAAAAAAAAAAAAACAACTGCAAACATTCACAGCAACAGCGAAAAAAAACACACACATTGCCAGTCAAACTGTGCACTGAAAAACTAATATATAAAATGAATTCAATTTACAACAAATAAATCTCGAATTGTAATTATATATTTTGCAAATTTTCTGCTAAGAAATTAAAAACAAAAAGAAAATACAACCAATTGGTTATATTCAAGCGGTGTTGGGGCTAAGTTTAGCGCTTCTTTATAAAATGAAGAATACAAAATTAAGCAATAATTTTAAAAGAAAACAAAAACACAACAGTTAAGGCAAAGGGAAAATTCAAAATTTTCTATAAAAAACAAATATAATTGATATATACTTCAAGTTAAACAATATTGTTGAACAATTTTTGGTTAAAAACTGGCAAACAAAAATGTTGATACACATTTAAAAAAAAATAAATAAATAAATAAAATGTAATATTTTATGTTAATGAAGCAAACACTTAATAAGAACACAAATACTCATTACCAATAAAAGAAAGTATAATAACGGTTCTATATAGTTAACACTATATACATATATGTATCTAAATACATAATATTATCTATTATATTACCTTATATTTAGTTTTTTCAATGCGTCGTTAGTAAACATTTTTGTAAATTGATATATACATATTATATATACATAGATTAAAAAAAAAAAAAAAAAGAATACAATCAATGTGAGAAATATACAAGTTCATGTAATAAAACGCAAAAAGACAGAAACTTGTTTGTTATGCTGCGTTTAAATTATTCTGTTATTATTATGACTACTATTATTAATATTTTTATTATTATTATTATTATTATGATTATTATTACCAACACATTTATTTTATTTGATTTTCTTATGCAGCCCTTAGTTTATGTAGCGTACTGCTTGTAAGTATTCTTATTTATTTATTTCATAACATTTATATTTTCTTTTAAATAAAACCAATTCATAAGATAGTTCAACTGAAAACAATATAAATAGGGCACATTTTAGGCACACATACGCAAAGAAAAAAAAAACGAAAAGTATAAACATTTATAGGTCACATTCGCTACCCTGTTTACTTGTGATTCTCACTAATATGTGTTTATTTTGTATATACATTTTTACAGATGATAATGGACAGCTGGACTCAGGCGAATCTCGTATACGCGTGCGCAATTGGCTCATGTTGGCGGATCAGTCGATCATAGACAAGACTAGCGACGAGTCTACAGGTATTTAAACCAGTTTTCCAGTCTATATAATATACCTTTTGATTGCATTTATACATATATATATATCTATCATTTTTTATCAACCAATTGGAGCCTTGCAGAGTGTATTGTAAATAACACATCCCTTTTAAACTAATTAATTCCGATAGTTTCTATGAATAGGGACATTACCCCTTTGTTTATCTGCTTTTCTGACTATGTTAGGAATTGATTTGGAAATTATTTTAAGGAAAGAACCAATGTCTATGATTGGATACTTTCTATATATAAATAAAAAGTTTATTTTTTTATTAAAAAAAACTTATACCAAAGAAAACATTTTAAAGGAGCCGAAAATCTAAATTGAAAAAATATATACATATATATTCCTAAAATCATAAAAACGGAACTATTTCTTCTTACGTCCTACAATTAAGGAAACATGCGTCTAGAACTATTTCAATAAGTTCTCTGATTCATTATTATATATTTTTTTTTTTACAAACTCTGCCAGGTTATTCAATCTTCGGCTTGCCGTTGTCCATCCATTAAGTTGTTCTTGTTATTTTCCAGTAACTTTTTTTTTCTGAATAATGTTTCGTTTTCTTTTTACAGTCTTAATTTTGCATTACAATTTACATTTTGTTTTGTAACGGCCACACTGCGGCAAATACACATATCATTTTGTTTTACAAAATTATTTTTCACACATATCATCAAAATAATAAGAAACTAACCTAACATTTCCCTAATACAATTTCTATTTTCATGCGCCAAAAACAAAAAAAAAAAAAATCAAAATTATAACCAATCCAAAAATCATTGCTAACACTTTCCAAAAAAACTAACATGACTAAAAAACTAAAACTAAAAAAAAAAAAACAAAAAGATAAACTAACTCCGAGCAAAAAGCCAAACATAAGCGCTGTTAAAAGCACTAACAATGCCAATGCAAAGCCAGCCACGACACCCGCAACAATCAGCACAACGCCGCCGGCGACGAGAACGCTCAACAACAGCAGCAACAGCAACAACACAAACAACAACAGCAACAACAACAATATTGTTGGCGAAAAGACGAGCAGCAGCTGTTTACCTGTGCTGGATCCAAAGACGCAAACGGTGACTCGAATTGGCAGCATCGGCCGCACAACGATTGCGTGCATCACGCCGGCCAGCCTGAAGAATAGCGCAAGCAACTGCAATGTGGATGCCGCATCCGCAGCGGCGCTGGCCGCTGCAGGCGTTGAGCTGGACAGCATTGATGATTCGATGACGGAGGTGATAGTAAAGATTGAAAATCCAGAGAATGTGTCGCTCAATGGCGACGAGGCTGTGTGCAATGAGGCTATCGATGATGAGAATACATTCGATTATGATCTGAAGATGGCCAGTCCATTGTCCTGGACTTATGATGCGGTCAAGATTGAGAACGAGGAGTTCGAGGATAGTTATTTAATGGATAACGATGATGACGATGATGATCTGTTGACCACCGCAGCGGCCACACAAAAGCACGCCAAGCAATCAAACGAGAAACAAAGAAACGGCAGCAGCAGCAACAACAACAACAGCAGCAGCAACAAGATTGTGCTCAGCTCACAGCAACAGCAGCAACTGTTGCTGGAGCAGCAGCAACACTTGCAGCATCTGCAGCTGCAGCCCACCAGCCAATCGCTGCAGATCAAGCTGCCCGCCATACCGGCAACCATAACCACCATCGCAGCACCACAAAAACAACCGATAGCCAGCACCAGCGGTGGTGCGAACATAACCACCGCCAATTCGACGCTGCTCTCCAGTAAGCTGGGCCTCAATATGGACGCACAGAATCTGAATTTGCACTGGTCGCACACGGATGACAATCGCTATCGGATTCTGGTGCAGAACAAGCGCATGCGTAAGGAGTCGCTGGAGCATTCGGCGGACATGATCTATAATGCGGACATTGAGAAGCCTTGGGTGTGCCGCAACTGCAATCGCACCTACAAATGGAAGAACAGCCTCAAGTGTCATCTGAAGAACGAGTGCGGCTTGCCGCCCCGCTACTTCTGCAGCAAGATGTGCGGCTATGCGACGAATGTGCACAGCAATCTGAAGCGTCATCTCAATACCAAGTGTCGTGATCGCGAGAAGGAGGAGGAGGAGAAGGAAAAGGAGAAGGAGAAGGAGCGAAAGCTGGCACCAGCTCCAGTCAATGCAATGGCCAACAGCAGCAGCAATACTGTCGGCGGCAACAACAATGCCAACAGCAGCAACAACAACAACAACAACAACAACAACAACAACAGCAGCAACAGCAACAGCAGCACCTACACACTGGTCTTTCAGAATGAATAGAGGCTTGAGGCAGACAAAAAAAAATGTTGTACAAATAAGCTATGGGAACTGGCAACTGGGTAAATGGTAACTGCAGCTAGTGGCATGCAACAAGCAACAATCAGAACTTAACATAGTATAAATTAAGGTTTTTTTTTTTGTTTTTGTTTCTAACAAGCACGTGTGCAATGTTTGTTGCTGCCACTCCCAAAAAATAGGCAGCACAGAATCTGTCATTAGTTGTTCCTTTTTTTTTATAATATAATTAACTATAGTGGGCATCTTTTTCGAACAAACTGTTTTGTTGCATGCCCCATGCACGCTGTGCCATGCAAGTTGCAAAGGAACCCAAAAAAAAAAAAAAAAAAAAACAACTAAATTAACAAAGACAAAAATTAGTTTTAGTTGGCAATACAAAACGTTAATTTTTGTATTGTTTTAGCGAATTCTCAAAAGAAAAACTAAAAAAAAAAAAAAAACATGCAAAAAAATACAAAAAAAAAAAAAAAAAAAGAAAGCAAATAAGAAATGTGTACATTTTTTTCCGAGAAAAATCTCACACAAAACGCAAGAAATTATATAACTAGTCACTGCAAAAGTTATTTAAGTGTGCTATAAAACATAAACAAAAAGAAAAACAAAACTTAAAACAAAAGATTTTTGTATTAATTATTAATTTTAAATCAAACTAAAACAAACCAAAAATCATATGCATGGCATGAACACGCGCCCTCCCCAAACAAAATACGAACAAACCAAAAACAAAAAAAAAAACAAAAATTATATGACACTCACACTTACATAAATACATAGTACATAAATATATCTGTATACATTTGAAAGAAACACCATCTACAATTTTGGTTTTCACTTCGTTGCAATCGAATTTTTCTCATACATTCCATCTTTTGGTTAGAAACATTTTCAACTGCAACCAATTTTTGGGCATTACCTATGTTAGAATTGCTTTATATATACATATATATATATATACATACATGATAATGAGAACAAGTTCTAGTCAAAACAAAAAGATATGATTATAATATAATAATAATGCGTATTAATAATAAATAATATCTATACAAATAATTTGAAATTTAGACAAAAATTATTATGATTAATTCTAAAATAATGTTTTAATTTTTAATTCCAAAATATCAGCGAATGCTTTTCTAAAAATGTCGAACAAAAAAAAAGTACACAAATTGTTAGATTTAAAAAAAGAGAAACAACAACAACAACCACAACTAAACCCGGCCATACAAAAATGTAACACACAATTTTCATATGTAAAAAGCAAAAGAAAATTTAAATTGGCTGAAAAAAATCTCAAAAATATAATAAACTACATCTAAGACCCTACAAACATAGACGCGCACACACATACACATGCACACACACAAACACACATGCAAAATGCGAAAAAATTCTACAATTATTATGTATTCCATATGAAATGAATATATCGTAATTATTGCCGGCTATATGTATTAAATAAAAATTCGAAATACAATTAAAAGCAAATGTCAAAACAAAAAATAACCAAAAACCAAAGTTGTATTTATTTTAATTGTAAAACAAAACAAAAAAAAAAACAAACCAACCTTCTACAATTTTTTTCCCCCAGTCATCAAAACTCATCCATCATGAATCCAATCTTTTGTATATGCCTATATACAACAACACATGCTCCCCACAAAACCTACAAGATCCCAAGAAAATCTTCCAGTTATATATACACATATATTACGAGTTGTTCTCTTTCTTGTCAAGAATCAATACTAATCAGCTCTCTATTTCAGGTGGATGTTGTCCGAATTGATGTTGATTGAGATCGATGAAAGTATATATCTCTGTGCTGGCACAACAAATCCATACAAGAATGCAGTTTATGGTGTAGACCTCTCTAATTGTTGTTTGCATGCTCTCTTAACCTACTATACTACAACTCTACATAACTAGAACCAGTGTATCTGCTGCTTAGATATCCTATAAACCTATTAAATCAACTATTAGATACGTATGTGTATGTACATGTTTTACAAAGACAACGTGACAAAACTCCTCCCCAGTGGGGATACCGATATTGATGATGATGCTGTTAAATAACTAGTACATGAACATATTACTTATATATTATATATTTATACATATGATTCTTAACTTTGTATGAATACTTCTTTATTAGAATTTGTAGATTTGTTTTCTCTTTTTTACATATACCATTCGTTTGTATTGCTGCAGGTTATTCTTAAGTTTCACTTTTGTGCTCATTCTAGTGTCGTAACGTACCAACTATCTATCTATATACTATCTATATAAATATATACATCCTTGATTATAAATAGCCTTAAATTATTTATACATTTATATATCGAAAAAACAAAAAACTATAAAAGAAAAATGATGAAAGCAACAACTTAGTTTGTAAAAACAAATTGTTTTTATAAATATTGCATTTTCTACCAACATTTTTTTTTTTAATTCTAGATATTACATCCATTATTTTGTAGTCTATTATTTTCCAAAAAAAAAAAAAAGAAGAAAATATCGTAAACTTATGCATGCGTATTTTTTTTATAAAGAACTTTGCTCCTCTATAAATATAAATCTTTATATATATGTGGAGCAGCTCGTATATCTGTGGATTTATAAGAACTTTTCTAAGTCTGAAAGCGTTGCGCCCTGTCTTAAGCACACATACATATATACAATTAGTAACCAAATTGTGTTTTATCTATAATAATATATATTTTTATTTATATATTTGTGACTAACACAGAAAACTATAAAAAACTATATTGAAATTCATTTGGATTAAAAAAAAAATCACTTGTAATTTTTTTTTGCTTAGCTCTATTTGTACTCAATGTAACTTACACTCGATTTAATGTTGTTTACACACACACATTTTATACTTATATTCATTGTGTTTATTAAATTTTGTTATTTTTATTATTATTATTTTATATATCAATCTCTTAAGCAGCGTTATACAATTTATATACATATATCGTAAACATCTCAACATTTTACTTTAGATACAAGCAGCGCCTACTCACGCACACACACACTCACACACACGCACACACACACTACACACTGACACGAACACACACACACCAAACACCACACACCCACACACACAACTATCACAATGCACCAACCAAAAAAAAATCAGTAAAAGTTAAAAGAAACGCAACATTTATAACGACTTCTTCACGGTAATAAATTCTATTTATATATATATATATTTTTTTTTAGTTCAACTACGTGTTCAATTAGACCTTAGGATTTATGATTTTACTATCTCTGAAAAAAAAAAGAAATAACAAATATGCAGACTTTCTTTAACTTAAAGCTCTTGACTAATATTGCATCTCCTTTGACTCTTTGTCTTGCTCATCTGCAGAATTTGCGCATTGCGGCCAGGGAGCCAGGCCGGGCAGCACGCAGACGTCCCCGACGCATCCATATTATCCGCTGCTGCACATGAAGACCAGTCCGTATACCAGTCCCATTGCCACGCCCAATCAAATTATCAAATTCGAGCATGCTGGAATCATGGATGATAATGAGCATGAGCTGCGCATTGATAGCGGCCGTGCCACGCCCACACATTGTTCACTGCACGGTCCTGGGCATGGTCATGGGCGTCACGGCAACAATGGCGACAACGATGACAGCAATAACAACAACAACGAGGATGATGAGGACGACGACGATGATAACGGCAATAAGCCCTTTGATCTGCGCATAGGCATTGCCAAAGTGCTGGTAGCTGCCGCCCAGGTGCACGGTGCCCTGCCGCTGGGCCACCATCCGCATCATTCACATCAGCAGCACCACCAACAGCAGCACACACGTCCGCTGGCCCAGCTAATGCAGCAGTCCAGTCCCGACGAGCCGCTGCGCCGCTACAGCAGCAGCAGCAGCGTCGGCATCGCGCCCACAACGCTGCCCAGCAACAGCAGCAGCAGCTTGGTAGCTGCTGCAGTCGCTGCTGTGGCAGCTAACAATACAAGTGCCTCGACGAGCGGCGGTGCCTCGACATCGGCTGCAGCTGCAGCGGCCGCAGCGGTGGCAGCAGGTCTCGTCACACCCAATGCCACACTTGGCGCTGCTGGTCCGTCAGTTGGCGGCAGCTGGAGCAGCGCCGGTGGCAGCGGTGGTGCTGGTGGCAGCAGCGGTGGCGGCGGTGGTGGTGGTGGTGGTGGTGGTGCCTATGCCTGCGATCGTTGTGGCAACACATACGCCCGTCCGCACAGCCTGAATCGTCATGTGCGTTTCGAGTGCGGCGTGGAGCCGCAATTCGAGTGCCCCATCTGCCACAAGAAGTCCAAGCATAAACACAATCTTGTGCTGCACATGCGCACGCACCAACATCGATGATACAATCAACAACAATTGCAAGGACGCCAGCAACTGGCAACTGCTGTTGCTGTTGCCTCCACTGTTGCTGCTGCTGCTGCTGCTGCTGCTGTTGTCACTAGTTAGTTAGCCAAGTTTCTGTGCAGCGCTTTCCGGATTCAGTCCAGTTCAGTTCAGTCCAAAAACAACAAATGAAAGAAGCAAAAACAGTGCGCGGTTTTTTTTCTTCAAATGATCTTGAAAACATATAGTCGTTTTTTTTTTTAAATATATAAATATATATATATATACAGTATATGATATATGTATATATAAACAACTACATACAGAGCATGCATAAAAGCCGTCAATGTGAAAATTTATCAGATTCTAATTTTTAGTTTCATATACTATATATCAAATTTTTTTCGTCTCTGTTTAATTTCTTTCCGTTATTTTGATTTTCCACACATAATATTTGATATATGTATATATCGGGGGGCGCGTGAGAGTGCGAATCATTTGGCATGGTTTTATTTTTGTTCTTGTTGTTGTTGTAGTTGCTATTGTTAAAATGTGTGTAACATCCTTAGAAAACTCAATGATCTCAATGAATTTTTCTTTATTGTGGTGTAACAGAAAAAAGGAAAAATTAATGCATTTTTTTGTGTAGAAAGAAAACGAAAACAGATAGAGAAAAGAAGGAAAACGAAACGCAGCAAAACGCAAAACATTCACATTAATTTTAATGTATTTTATTTATTATAAACAAAACATAAAACAAACAAAAAAAAAAGAACAACAAAAAAACGCAAAAACAAATATGAGGCGGGGACGAGCAGAGAGTAAGGTGAGGTGAGGCGAGGTGGTTTTTTAGTTAGCTCAAAGAACTGTTAGATTGTGACTCAATGCAGGGCATTGGCACTCTCACGCGCTTGCAATTCACTTATATGATTATTATTTTTTTATTATTAATATATTTCTTTTGGGGCAATAGTTAAACTTAATAAACTTAAACAAAAATTTGCATATATATTTATGTATATAATGTAAAAAACACACGAAACTTCGGCACATACATATACATATGTATATGTATGTATTGAATTAGCAACAGTCAATCGCTTAGTCAGTCAAAGTTAGCAACTAAGTTAGTTTAAGCTTTAAGGCAACGATAAAGCGTAACTAAATCTAAATGGACATGTGCAATAAGCTAAAAAACACAGACAGCAACAAAAACAACACTCTAAAAAAAAAAAAACGAAATATTAAAACAAAAAAAAAAAACAAAAAACAACAAAAGCTAAATAACTTGTGCAATAAGCTTAAAGAAAATCCCAAAAGCAACAACAAATGTAATGAAAAAAAAAAACAGCGCACAACCGAGTTGTAATTTTGATTTTCTTTTTATGAATATTTTTGTTTAATTTTCGATTTATTCACTTTATAATTTTTTGTTAAATGCGCGCCGCCAAAGCCACAAAAAGAAAAGAAAAAAAAAACAAACAAACAAAAACAATTATTGTTAGTGCAACGCAACGATCTCTTAAACAACTTTTCTAAAACACAAAACAACAAATTTATTAATTTATCTTGTGCTCATTCCATGAAAAAAACAAAAACAAAATTATTCGTTTATTTAAAAAAAAAAATTATTATTTATTCTATGACGAACACAAAATGTGATAGGCGGCAATTTTAGTTGGACCAAAAACAAACAACAAAAAAAATGCTAAACAAAATTATTAATTTATAAAAGAAAAAGCAAACAAAAATTTGGCTTGTGGCTTTGCGTAAAAGGCGCGTGCAATTAATTAAAACAGTTATTAACTATATACATATTATTATTAAAAACAAACAAAAACTAAAAATATTCTTACATATATGGCAAGCAACATGTACAAGTGTGAGCAAATCAATTGGCATTATAAAGTTAAAGTTTAATGAGTTAGGGACAAAACTCGCATCGAGTCACAGTCAGAATCGAAGTTGGAGTCAGAATCGAGGTCGGAGTCGAGGTCGGAGTCGGAGTCGAAGAAGGTTGGAAACGAAGAGTCAAGTAAATGAGAAATAATTGGTATGTGATATAATGAATATAGTCCTCATTGTAATTAATATAATATTAATAATTTTTCTTGTTGTTAATACACACGAAACATATACACACACAGAAACACACTCACACACACACACACACGAACACACTAAATGTTACCTTATTTATTTAATATATTTTCAAAATTTATATAAACCAAGCAAATCACATAATGTTGCAGCAAACCTTGTTATAAAACCCGTTATTAAAATTAAGCTACAAATTTCTGTAATGTGCGCCTAAAATCAATTGCGAACGTTTTATGCGCACATTTCGGCAAATAAAACAAATACAGTTAGACATTAACACGCTATATAGTTAAAAAATTTAAACATTTATAAATTGTTAAACTACATTATGAATGAAGCAAAACGAAAATGTAATTAAAGGAAAGGTTTAAATAATGAGCTTAACAAAAATTCGTTGCTTAGGTACTTTAAAACAATAAAAATAATATTGTAATATAAATAAATAAAAATATACCATACCCCACACAAGCACACAAGCACACACACACACATAGAGGGGCGCAATGTAATATTCGTTAGCAGTTTGTGCCACAAAATATGTGATAACAATTTTATTTGTACAACAGACAAAACGAAATTGGCACAAATTCTAGCAAATTGAAAAAAAAAGAAAAAAAGCCTAAAAAAATTATTAAAAAAATATGTATAATTAATTAACATCACACAAAACATTAAAAAGAAAGAAAAAAAACAAACATGCGAATATTAAAAAAAAATTTAATGTAAATTGTGCAAAGGAAATGAAAGAGAAACAAAAACAAAATTCTTGTCGGTCAGTATTCGAATTACGTGAGGAAAACAAAATTACAAAAAATTTGTATTTAAATTGTTATTATTTTTTAATGTATATCTTTTCTGTTAACAATCGGGCAACTTTCTAATTGGCATACAAATTCATTTGAATTAAACATACATATATCAATATATATATATTTGTCAAACAAACATTTGCGCTAGTCAATTACGTGAGTTTGCTTTGCTCTTTTTTTTAATTTTTTGTTATACCTAATTGTTTAATTAATTAAAAGGAATGCAGAGAGAGAGAGAAAGATAGAGAGAGAGAAATGCGAAAGGAAGAGTTTCACAATCTACATTATATGCAATTGTGTGTCCTTTTTAAACAATTATAATCTAATGCAATTATTTAACTTTGTCTATTAAGGTTGTGGTTCTTATTTATACATCTAAATAATTTTTTACTACTTTTCTAAGCAAACAAAACAAACAAACGAAAAAAATGAATGTAAACGAAGATATGCAAAAATGCAGCAACATTTTAATTTATCAACAGCGCATGTGATGGACTCAAAGTTGTTCAGCATACAAAATATATAATTTATGTATATATATATATATATATATATATGTATGTATATATATATATCCAATATATAAATGTGGCTAATGCAAGACACAAGCCTAGCGTTCGACTTTGGGTCATATAGTTAAAAAGTGTTAAAGAAGAAGAAAACCATGGAAATAATGAAGAGCATGTGATAAATTCAATATAATTTTGATTAACAAACAATTTACTAACACGCAACACAACAACAACAACACACACACACATACACACACACAGAATAGCTATGTTTGTAATTAAAATTAAGTAGCGCTTATGCAACTATATACACACACTTAGTACATCTAGTATATTAAATAATTAACAATTTTTGAGGGATGCAAGATTTGTAAATTTTTAAAATAATCACAAAAAGTTTGTATGCACATTGCTTTGGCCTTTTATACCATGCATCTAAAAATAAAATGTAGCTTCAAAAAAATATATATATAAATTAGTGTGTCCATCACAACAGCAGCAAGAACAGATCATAGACATATTTTTTGAGAAATTGTACTAACCAGAAACAGTTTAATTATGCTAACAAATGTATCTTTTTTCTGTTTTATTTTTTGTATAAGCCTTAAATGAATTGATGTATCTATGTAACTTACACTAAACACATACATATGTAACGAAGAGTTTATATGATAGCGCATACTACTATTACTACTAAACACACACACACCCACACACTTATATACACACACAACACCCACACACTACACACACACACACACACACAAAACGTTGTAAACAAGGAGCTGTGAATGTAAAATTATATATAAATATTATAATTATATATATATTTATGTATATATATATAAATGTACATATAGATACATACATACATAAAAAGAAGCAAATCGATGTGATCAAATGTGATTGTTAAGAGAAAAAAACACAAGATTGTTATGTGAATTGAATGTGAACGGCATAGGCAAGCGGGGTAATAGGTTTTGAATAACATTGAATGGGCTTTTCTTTACAAAAAAAAAGTGAAAATAATGAAAACACAACACAAACAATATATACAGAACACATTCAAACAGACACACACAGACACAAAACACCTTTAAGTTGTATTTAACTATCAAATAATATACTTCTTCCTTGTTTATATTTTCTCTTTAAACTAATACAAATCATATAGTAGCACATTTATAACTGCAGAAACACGTCAAATGGGGTTTTATATATATACATGCAACAATAACAAGAAATTAGCTTTAAGTTAAACCCAAAACACACACATGTATCTGTAATTGTGGATTATAATTCATAATTGTTAATTGCTGTTCACGCACGCTAAACACACACACACACACACACATACAAAAACTCAAGAGTCATTTGCCTAAAAATTAAACTTAAAAATTCAAAAATAGCAAATTCTAAACGAAAAAATTCGCAAAAATCTTATTTCTATTTAATAATAAAAAAACTAGCTTAGTTTACGCTTTAAACAAAATTTACAACAAAAACTCCCTTGAAAAAAATGTTAAAATTTGAAATATATTTGGCTTTTTCAATGCATAGACACATTTGCGAGTAGTTTAACAAAATTTTAAAATGATAAAAACAAAATAAAATGACATTCAAAATGCCAGTTGTTAGAATATTTTTGAAAAAAGTGTGCTTAAATCATGCAAAATTTGTAAGTGCAAAAATAAAAAAAAAAAAACAATTAGCAACAAATAAATCAGGATATATATACATGAAAATATATATCTATATGTGTATAGAGCCGAAAAACGCCTTAAAACATTTTGTGAAACAATTTTATTATTATGTATAATAAAAAAAAGGTATATAAAAAAAAACAAATAGAAATGTGAAAATGTAAAACGAGTAAACGATTTAATTGTTATAAGTAAAAACAGGAAAACAACTAAATTTAAAAATATATTATATTAAAAACAAAAAAAAAAAAAGAAAAAACAAAAAAATTAAGTCTGCCTTTACTTATCGAAAGAAATTCTCATTTACAGCAACATAACATAACAACACAATATATATATTTTAAATGAAAACCTAAAACTAACATAAGTTTTTCTCTTCTTCTAGATGCCGTCGCGCTGGAAAACACATTCTGGAAACGTAATACCTATATGGCTTTAATGTGAGAACCTTGCGTTTCTGCAGCATAATGCTTAAATTCTTTTATTGTATTTTGAGAAGAAACAAAAAAAAAAAAATGAAAAGTGAAAAAATGAAAGATAGTCTTAAATATAATGATAAACCTATGTATTTATTGCTGTATTGTTGTAGTTATTGAATGCACCAAACAACACAACAACACACGCCCATTGAATAACTATTCAAAATTGTATTTGTTATTGTTTCTGTTACTTGTTCTTGTTTATAATTTACTGTACATAATTAATACAATCTTTTTGTTGCCGTGCTCTTTTTCTATATTCAAAGTTAAGGGGCTTGTGTGTATAGATATGCGGGAAATATATGCTTCTCATTATTAGCTCGATCATCAAGTTTATCATCATCATCATCTTCATCATCATCATCATCGAGTGCGCTCATCAACGCCTGGGGCTCCAGTCATATTTGCTATAAACCAAAACTCACACCAACAACAACAACAACGCAACACTTGTATCTAGCGGGTAGTTGACATAACACTAAGTACCTCTTCACACTCTCAATATACAGATTTATATATTTCCTTATTTTTTTTATAATTTGTTTAAGTTTTTCAATTTTTGTATTATGATTTCTTTTTCGATTAGTATTTTTGTTGTTTGCGTTGCCTTTTAATTAATTAATTTGTTTATTGTTATGTTTTGTTCTTGTTTTTTCATCGCCCACAACCGACAACGCCTCCAAAAACAGACATCTATCCCATATTGGGCAGTCTGCTGGGCGTGGACACATCGAGCACTGCGAATGCTGGCAGTAGTCATGACACCGCCATTGGCGACTACTACGGTTACCTCAACAACAACAACAACAACAACAACAGCAGCAGCAGCCACAATAACAATAATAACAACAACAACACAAGCAGCAGCAACCCAAATGCCGTCGGCGCTGCCACAACGCACAGCAGCAATATCCTGCGAACAGGACATGCGAGCAGCCTATCACGTGATTCGTTTATGCAGTGCAAGCACTGCAATCGCTACTACAAATCGCATCAGAAATTGCAGGAACATGTGCGCAAATATTGTCTGAAGCAGAAGAAATACAAGTGCGTGTCCTGCGAGTATCGTTCGCGTCGCAAGGATCATGTGTTGCGGCATGCCAAACGCAAGCACTGCATGCTCTATGAGCGGTTGCGTAACGACGAGGAGAGTCTCTATTTGATACGCAACGAGGACGATTTGAGCAACGATGATAACGAGCACGACAATGATAACGATGCTGATAACGATGCCGAAGACGCCGATGGCGGCGGCATGGATAGCGATGTGGCCGCCGCACTGTGCGAAATCAACTTCGATTTCGCAGGACGTGATCTAACCATAACGGCGGTGCCTATGCTGCAGGAGAGCGACGAGGATGATGATGACTACGATGAGGATGCCTAAAAGTGCACCTTCCTCCCTCTCTGTCTCTCTCACTCTCTCACTCTGTTGTGCGTGCGTGTGTGTGTGTGTAGCAAAACCGTGAGGCGTAATTTGAAATGTTTACCAAATATGAATACACATTAGTTTGTACTGTACGGGTCAGCCTGAGGCCTGAGGTCTGAGGCCTGAAGCCTGTTGTGCAGTGTTAGCTACAACTACCTCCACATGTGTGTGTGTGTCTGCAGCATCAGCAGTAGCAGCGAATTCATAGCTTTTTTTATAGTGTAGCACAACCACTTATACCTATATTAATATATACTATGAAGTATATATACCATATATATATAACCAATTATCATAGCCAGTTGTTGTGGCAAACTCAAGCATGTCACATTCCTGCGCACAACGCACAAATTACTTAAACAAAACTTTGCAAAAATGCAAAGCAACTTAAAACAATTGAATTTTACTAGAATTTTAACTGCAAAGCTGAGTTTACACGTGATACAATTCGTCAACAAAATGAAACATATTTGAGCACAGAGTTTAGTTCTATTTGTATATAAATTTGTAATATTTTTTTATCTTTCCACTGAAATAATCTCTATTTATTTCATTATCTAAGTAAATCTTAGTTTGCACATGACAAATTTTTGAAAATATATTCTAACTTTTTTGGGCATGGCCTAATCCTTTAAATTTCTATAAAGTGCATATTTTATATAGCATACTTATATAATGTTAAATTTGATCAATGATTTTCACTTTGGCTGCTGAGCGCAGTTTTTATTCCAATTTCGAAACATTAAATTGCTCAACGATTTTAATTTTTGATATTTAAAGCTGATATATAAAAGTTGTCTATCATCTAGATATTTTCTTAATTATTAATATGTTTATTCTCTGTCACAATCTCTGCACTCAAGGAATGAGAGATATGAAGGCAGAAAAAATTAAGGCATGTCTGCATATGTTGATCCTGGACAGATAGAAGGTCGCAGTCCTTAATGAAATACTTGTGCCCAATATTTGCCAAAAAAAAATATATATATAGAATTTAGTTAAAAGTCTTATCCTAACATATTTTTTTCTAATCGACAGCAAATTTTTTCAATTTGGATTTTACAAAAATAGATGCTCAATTGACATGGCCAAAAACTAATTTCAAGAATTTCTTAAAGATCCATTTTCACGTGTGAACTTCGACTTAATTATCTCTGAGCGCATTCCGTTAATTTTCTTTAATTGTTTGTTTTATAATTTCTTTAATATTTTTAAGTTTTGTTGACCGTGTGCCTATCCTTTAGTTTAAGCAGCAAATTGGTCGAAGACCACATTTATTTATATCCCAAAAAACAAAAAAAAAAAAACAAAAAAAGAAAAGAAATCACTTGATTTGTTAATGTCTGTGGTGGGTTGGTGTTCTGAAAAACTTCCAAACTCTCTCTAACTGTTTCTCAAATATTCTTGCCAGCAGCAGTTCCAAAAAAAAAAAAAATAATAATAATAATAATAATAAAAAAGTAAATACAATTAATGAAATAATATTGTAAAGCAAACAAAGACTTAAAGCGCCATTATTTGCCACTACATATATTCCTCAGTTACACACATTTGAGTACAGTATGTATTTTCGGGTGTTATAAACAATAATTTTTAAACTTAAAAAGAAAGCAAAGCAAATGTTGTGTACATTTTTTATATACACCATATACATAATTATATCTATATTATATATATATATATATTTGTAAATGCAAGCAATTAAGAATAAAGCATACTTATTATAATAATAACATCTATGATCAGTTAAGTAGAGCTGTTTCATACGAGTTCCAAAAGCAATTATTTATTATATTTTTGTTTATTTTAAAAGCTGTATTTGAAATGAAACACCAAGACCTTATAGTACACATGTATTATCCGACACACACACACCCAATTACAAGCACATCAACAATTGGATGATCAGCTGCCACATTTGTTATTTTACTGCTGCAAGTAATTATATATGCATATATACCCTATATATAAATATTCTCAACTGTTGTTCTAATGTGTTGTTTATTACTCTGACTCTATTTACAGATGGCTACTGGACCATACTGGAGACGGTGCCCTATTCCATAGCCAGTGCCACGAGCCAGAATCATACACTAAGCACTGCCCAATCCCTGAGCTCGGGTAATGCCAGCAGTCTATTGTCGGGCGCAACAGTTGTTGTGGAGCTGCCGCCCGATGATCTGGGTAATCCCGTTGGCAACATACAGTATACGATTCCCGCGCTGACCAAAAATGCCACCACAAATACTAATACCAGCAGCTTGCACAAGCCACAGGCCACCACCATACAAATTGTGAAGCAGCAGCAACAACAGCGGCAGCAACTGTCGCTGCAGCAATGCCTGGATGTGCGGCAGCAGCAACAACAACAACAACAACAGCAGCAGCAGCATCAACAGTCGCAAACGCGTCAGGAGTACATCAAAATAGACACGTCCCGACTGGAGGACAAAATGCTGCTCCGCGATGTGATGCAATATGGTGCCACTAGCATCTCCATGGCGCCCAGTACGGGCAGCGAGGTGGTCACCACCACAGTGGTTGCCACACACGAGTCCGAGCTGCTGCTAACCGACGCTGATGAGGCGGAACGCGAACTCGAACTGGAGGCCATCAAAAATAGCCAGCATGAGGACCTGTTAAACGATGATGATGACTATGTGGACAAGCTGCATTGTGGCGAAGAAGCAACGCATCAGGGGGACAAGCTGTATGTGAATGGATTGAGCGGAGTGCACACCACCATGGCACTGCACCATGTCACCAATGAGCTGGCCATCGATGATGCCAAATATGCGTGCAACGTGTGCGGCAAGACGTACAAAATCAAAGGCTCGCTCAAGCGCCACAAGAACTACGAATGCGGCGTGGAGCCAACTCTCAAGTGTCCGCATTGTCCGCACAAATGCAAATACAAATCGGATTTGCGCAAACACATGAATCAAAAACACTCCGAAAATGGCGATACGCTGCTCCTAAGCAATTAGAGGGTAAGGGAGGGATAAATGGGCAGGCCTGAAGAATCTCCAAATGCAATTTAAATGAACTAGAATCTTCTGAAAGAATAATAAGGAAAAATAAGTTTCAAAACAATTTTTAAAAAATTCAAAGTTATTATTTTTAACTAAAATTTCAGAGTTATATACATTTCAAATTCCAAGCCAAGTTTTTTAGCCCAAGTGTTGTCTCTTTCAACAGGCCTGTCCACATTTTAAAATGTCCACTGCAGTTATATTATATGAAATAGCATTTGTTGTTGTCTTACTTTTAGGTACATATATACACGTTTTCATCTGACTATTTCAAAGGGTGTGTAGTGTTTTGTAATATAGCCAAAGATATGATCTCAAACATAAACTTGAAGAAATTACATAATATTAAAGTTAGTCGCATAAGTTTTAAACGAATTTCATTAGCCAAAAAAAAAAGAACAGAAAAAAAACACAATTTCCACATAGTTGAATTGAATTGCTCAAGTGCAGCCCCAAAATTCAAGTGTAAGTACACAAATACATATATATACTATATATACGTAATATATAGCACACACTTCCTATGTGCAAAACAGTCGTTAGTAATTTTAAAAATTAATGAAAAAAACATCGTCTTATATACATATTTAAAATTGTATATGATAATAAATAAATTAATAAATGTTTACAATTTATGCGCCTTGTACTATTTACTTATTATTATTTTTTTGACAAGTATTTATATTTTTTATATATATATATATTTTTGTAAATATTATTAATATGAATTTCTTTTTTGTAGGGTCCGCTGCTGCTGCTGCTGCTGCTAAGATCTGGCTGAGTACCGAAAAAAAGGTGTTTAAAACGTATTTTTGTTAAAGTAGCTAAACAAACGAAAAGAAATCATTTAACAAAATAGATTGCGTACATAAACTCAATAATAAAAGAGACGAAATGTTAATCCAAACGAATTTGTGTATTCATCCAGCAAAGTCTCATCTCTGGCATATATCACAAAATATATATAATTCCTTGTATTTCAATAATGCCGTAGTCATTTGTTTATTATTGTCATTCGTTGTCATTTTTACCATCTATTGCTTCCTAGATTTCGTGCGGCACGGCCCAAGGAACCAGCTGCTGTGCCAATGCGGACGCTACTATAACACAATGAACCGCCTGATGCTGCATCAGAGCGAGGAGTGCCAGGACTTTAAGCGTTTCCAGTGTGACTATTGCCTCAAGTGGTTCAAGCGACGCTCCCATTTGAATCGCCACAAGAAGCTGCATCAGGCAGTGCTGGCCGCCGAGCGCAGGCTTATTTACAGGCAAAATCAAAAGCAAAAACTGGTTGCAGAAAAAACAACAACTACGCAAACAGCAACAGAAACAACAACAACAACAACAACAACAACTGAAACAACAACAGCGACAACAAGGGCAACGAAACCCACAAGTCGTACGTCCAGTCGCCCTTTGAGCGCAATTGATCCCATGTTTCTCTATACGACTGAAATCAAGGTGGAATATGAATCGGATGATGTGGACATAAGTTAAGCATATTTTTTGGTGGTCGGTTTTAGGTGTGTTTGGGCCGGGCCCAGATGTTTTTGTTGTTCTTAAGTTAAAACCGATGTAATTATTAGCCAAGTTGCTCGTTAATGCCAAATTCTTAAATTTTATAATATGTAAATAAAATGAAGAAAGAAACGGCCATATAGAACATGCATTTCTTTTCTTTTTTCTGTTTTTCGATCAATTATATTTACTTTGTGTGTATATATATCTGTGTGTATGCCTGTGTGTTACTGCTTAATTAATTAATTTATTTATAATATTTAATGTACAGATTTATTTACCCTTTGGTTTAGGCAATGCTGTTATCTAGTTTGGTTTCTTCTTTAAAATTATGATTTACATTTTTTGTTTGTTTGATTAGCCCACAAAATGTTTTTTCTCTTTGCAGTGAGCAACGTCAGGAAGTACAATTTGCGTGGCCAGGACAGCGCCATGCCCGGCACCTCCAAACAGCTGACCAAAGCCAGGGAAGCCAAAAGCGAGAATGAGGAGCCCTCGACGGCACAACGGCGATCGCCCCATAACAACAACAACAACAACAACAACCATAACAACAACAACAGCAAGAAGCCGCTGGTGAACAACACGGATGCATTGATAGCACTGCAGCAACTGGCCTCCATTTCAACAGCCCGCTCGCTGCAGCATCTGGTGCCGCATTTGCCACACAATTTGCACATCGACACTAGCAGCCTGGTCGCCGGACGCAAGCTGCCACGGCAGAGCTCCAAGCGCTTGCCACCATACGAATCCAATCGCTGTCCTCTGTGCGCACGCGTCTATCGATCCCAGGCCTTCCTCAACGAGCACATGCGCAATGAGCACTCGGTTTTGATTTAGGCACTCTTGATAGATTTCAAGATATAATAGTTATTGCAACAAATATTCTTTGTGGTTGAGTGAACGCTGGAAATTTCTAATGATTTTAGTTAGGATTGTTCGGTTTTTAAGTTTAGAAAACAAAAATCGAAAATAACTCGCCTTTTCTTGTTAGCTTTCTATATAGATCAACAAATCTTTACGATCTAGCTGAATAATTATTTCGGATTTCAAATTCTATATATATCTATATCTATAAAATTCTATGCATATATATATTTAAAATATCCATGATCTATATTGGACGTTTTCAATATTATTTGTTTGAAAAAAACGAAAAAAGAACAGTAGAATAACGAAATAAATTTGTTATTTTATTAATTTTTGTTTTACAATTAATTTCAAAAGTTTTAGACAAACGGTGAATAAGCTTTTGGAAATTATAGTTTCTTAAATCCATAAGTTTTCAGCAATAGTATTAGAAACTTATAGAGCTCACTCTGTCCCCCACAAAAGAAAATAAATATATACATTTATTATATAAGAAAGTTTGATAGCATATTGTAAACGGAGCTAAGTCTGAATTTGTGAAATGAAGTTTGGATTCCAACTTAATTTTTGAATTGTTCAAATTGAAACAAAAAAAAACAACACATATATTTACCAAATTGTGACCAAAAATTACATATATTACGCAGCAGATCATAAAGATGGTATATTGCCAGCGATTATATTACTAATAATCATTATTATTGTAGTTAAACAGCAGCCAAAACTCGCTTATAATTATTGAACTCGTATGTATTTCCGAAAATTGTTGTGTTTCAAGCATTTTTACGTTATCTTTTGAATAGAGAGCGAGCGAAGGAGTTTAATTTTGTTGTTAGCCAACTTTCGTGTAAGTTATTATATTTTAGTTATAATATAACTAATTTAGTTAACAATAATTATCCAGATTAAATGAGGACCAATTTAAGTTTTTATACCTGTTGCTAATAAAATTAAAATGATAAAGCGTATGCCAAAAAAAAAAAATACAAATAAAAAAATAAAATTATAAATTGAAAATTGTTATATGGCTAAAACAAGTATATAAAAACTACAGCATTATTATATTTATAATATTTGCACCAATTTATCTTATTAATATTTTCCTTTATTTTTTATTTCATTTGCATTAGCCAAACAAAAACTGGAAGAACTTGTTATTTTATTTGTTTAAAGTTGATTTTGGTATGTATTTTGTATATTTTCTAAAATCAATTATTTATTAATTTTTATTTTCTTTACAGATAGTTTTAATTTTAAATTTAAATGAAAAGCTGGAAAATTGACTGGAGGTAAATATTGAACCATACCACTATTTGATGAATTGCAAATTTTTAAGTGCTCAATCAGGCAAAAATAATTCCATTTCGCTTCACATTTCAATACAATAGATGCTAATCCTTTAACCAAAACAGGTTTCAGGCCATTGTCCCAGTGCAGGGTGGTTTCTGTCCTTGAAATCGTTCACAATCTATTCAAAATTTGGCCAACCACAAATCGCAGCCAACTGAACTGTACTGCCACAGTGCCTCATTCCAATCCTATCTCATTTCAGGGATCTTTTCCAAACACACCCACATGCGAGACTCAACGAAATGCATTTGAAAAACATTTGTGCACAGATAAATCACGTTTCAAACTGGGTTTCTCTCTAAAAATAAGTTTTCACAGTCTCTCCCTCTCTCTCTCGCTCTCGCTCTCCCTCTCGCTCTCTCTCTCTCTCGCTCTCTTGCTGCGCTCCTTGTGTGGCTTGTGTTTTATTTTTATGCCGTTTCTCGTTTGCCTGTCGGCGGCGGCTTTTACTTTTGCTTTTGTGCTTCCCACGTTTCCAACAATTTTCCATTTGGCAATGCGTCTTCGTGCCTGAATTTTATTTTTATACATTTTTCCCGTTTCCTTTTGGGCTTTGCCTTCGCAAAGTCCAGTAAACAGGATACACAGCACAGGCGACACACAAACATACAAACATGCAAGTTCCAAGGGTCTTGTCTTGGCTCTATTGTCTTGAAGCTATTTTTATATTTCAATGTTAAATTCCTGGAAGCGCTGGCTAGGCTCTGTATATTGCAAGCGTTAAAAATGTATCTATTTTAACCATTTACAACGTGGATTTACGCTCTCTTATCTATAAAAAGAAAGTCCTCTACGGAGAGCTGAATTTAAAGCTATATCTTTCAACATAAAAATCTTCTATATCTTTGACTTGAATTCTTCAATTATTTGAGATACTTATAATGAAAACCCTTATCTGTCTGTTTTAAGAACCAATTAGTCAATTAGCTTGATTTCTTCATCTATAACTGATGTACATATGCAAATTTCTTGTTCATGCTATAATATCTTTAAGCTGATGTTTTCATAGTCATTTTAGTGGGTTCCCAAACTCTAATTGTATTCGGTAAATGGGAACCAGCATAACAATTTCACTTAATCTAGCTCATGTATCTGGGTGAGACTTCCTTATAAAAGCTGAAATCTACAGTTATATACATACATACATATGTATATACATATGCCTACATTGGTGTAAAAGCTGATACTCTGCCTGCTGTTCCCAAATTTATTTATCCGTTTTATGGTTAATGCGTAGCAAATATAAATTCCAATAATTTTTGTCAAGCCCTCCCTTAAGTTTGCTGCCTTATTCTCAATGTGTTTCATATGCTGACCTTGAAATGCATATGATGTATATATGTATGTATGTATATATAAACATCGCTTACAGCTGTAGAAAGAAAACACCCGAAACACCACCGGAAGCTGCTCTTAAATACACACACGCGCGCGCACACACACACATGCATACGTAGATGAAATGTGCGCCTGCGCAAATGCTTTCTATCGCGCACTCGCTCTCTTTTGCGCTCTTTCTCGCTCAGCCCACACGCTCGCTCTGGCGCTCGGAGAAAGTTTTCTGTGGGAGAGAGAGGTTTGCCTAGAACATGCCAGAAATAGAAGAAGCAACGACGCGAGCTAGGTAGAAAATTGGGAAAATGAGCAAAGAGTAAAAATAAATCAAGGACCCGGATCAAGCAGGCCTTAAGCCTTGGGTACACTTGCTGTGCAAGCAGCAACAGATACACACAAACACAAATGCACACACACACACACACGCATACACATGCGTATAAGCCACACGAAACAAGATTTTTCCCGAATGTTATTGTTGTTGCTGTTGCTGCAGTTGTTTGCCTGCCATTGGTTGCAGCTGCGCTGCAGCCTTTGGGATTTGAGGATGCGTCTGCCTGCCTGCCGCCTGCCTGCTGCGGTGCTTGGAAAATTGTTAAGCTGCGCCGTCGACTAGTGCAGTTTCGCTTGTGTTGCCGTGTGGACGCTTTTCCGAGCGCTTGCGCGTGGGTGGTTCTCGTTAATTCTTCCACGTAAAGTGAGCTGAAAGCGAAGCTTTTATTCAGCTAAAGTGTTGTGTTGACTAAAAGCTGCGCTTAAAGCTCTACTTAAAGCTCAGGGCCACACAACAGCACAAAGCTAAACTGCACTTGAACACCTGTGTTAAGCTCAAAGTAATTAATCAATTGTTTTTCATATTTTTTCAGCTTGCTTGGAAGGACAAAACGGAGCCTTGGATTAAATAATCGAAAGCAAAAAAAAAAAAAGAAATGGCACTAACCTATTTTCTCTATTTATTTTTAGATGTGCAGCAGGTAAAGATAACAAAAATTATTATGGTTACGGTACAATCAAATCACAAGAACAACCACCAACAACACCACCAGCACCACCACAGCAACAACAACAACAAAACATTTTCACAACATTTTCATTTTCATTTGCGCAACAACAACAAAAAAAAAAGAAAGAAAATGCAAGCATTGCCAGCGGCTTTTACAACATTTTCATTTTCATTTAATGTTATATTAAAACAAAAAAAAAACTTAATAAATTTTTAAATTATGTGTACTTAGCTTTATTTACTGTTTTATGAAAATATGTTTTTAATACTTTTATATTAATTTAAACAATTAATTTTATGTTGCTTTTTTTACAAATTATTTCGCATGCTTTTACATACATATCTAACCCATCGAATTTTTGTTTGTTTCACCTAACCCAAGCAGTCCGAGGCTTAGTTCAGTCAATAATGAAAACTCATCATTTGCTTTTTCATTTGTATTATCGTGTATATATATATTTAGCCGCCCGCAGCAGTCGGAATTTTATGCAAGATTTGTCAATAAATTGAAACTAATACGATATGCTTTCATCAACAGATCTCAGCCGCAAGGAGAACACCGCACCGTCTGCGACCGCCGGAGAGATACAGCGCGGCCTGCAGCGCAGCATACTCAATGTCAAGCGCGAAGAGCAGAAGCTGCAGCTGCCCGGTTCACGGCGCAAGCGTTTGTCCGTATCCGAGGTATCCGACATGCTGTTCGAGTTTTACAAAACCAAATCGGCCAAGGCACCGAAGCAACAGCAGCCGCAGCAGCTGCAACAGGATCCGGTCGAGCTGAGTAAGTACGGACAGGTGTCGCCCACCTCGGCAGAGACGCTGGAGCCGTCCAGCATTGCAGCGATTGCCGTTTATGGTGCTGCCTCCGAGACGGCTTCAAAAAACTTGATGGCTGATGAAATGCAACAACTAAGCGCTGCCGCTGGCGCTGGCTCATTTCATCCACGCCTCAAATATTCACTGAAGACAGCGGCTGGCGCCAATGCGGTGCCCGCAGAGCTTAGCCTTGTTCCCGGTGTAACGGCCATACCCACCTCCGTGCTGGTGGCCAATGCGGCAGCTGCAGCAGCAGCACCGGCCCACAAGCCGCCCGCTGCGGCGATCGCTGAGGCGCTGATGCGCAACGGGCTGCACAGCTTCCAGCAGCAGCTGCGCGCCCAGGAGATCCTGCGCCAGCAGACGCCGCAGCGTCGTTTGCCGGACGAGCCGGACAACAATATTGGCGGCAACGATGTGACACCCACCAAAATATTGGAGAATCTGTTGCGCAAGCAGCAGCAGCGCGATATGCGGCACTCGGAGTGCGAAAATGAACCGGGCTCTTCGACCGAGGATGAGGAAGATGCACGCTTTAATGCCTTCGAGGATATACAGCTGATGGATCAGTCGGGCACCGTTGCTGGCGGTAAGTTTGGCAACTATACGCTGAACATGTTCGCCTCGAATGCCAACAGCTCATCCGGCTCGCTTAAGGAGGCACAGGCGCAGGCCTTCCGCCAGCTGGAGTTCACACTGAGCGACTACGGGGGCAGCAGCAGCAATTGCAGCACCACCAGCCCCAATGGCATTGGACTGGACGGGGAGCCCGTCTACGAGTGCCGTCATTGTGGCAAAAAGTATCGCTGGAAGTCTACGCTGCGTCGTCACGAGAATGTCGAGTGTGGCGGCAAGGAGCCGGCCCATCAGTGCCCCTACTGTCCCTACAAGTCCAAGCAACGCGGTAATCTGGGCGTTCATGTGCGCAAGCATCACACGGATCTGCCGCAGCTGCCCAGCAAGCGTCGTTCCAAGTACTCCATGAACATGGAGGGCGGCGCCGGCGGCATGAGCCTGAGCGGCTCCATCTCGGACGATTCGCAGGGCAAGCTCATCATTGACTGCAATAAGTGATTGCGAATTTCAAGCTTTTTACATTTGTCACATACGATTCATCATATACCAAATACACACAGACTACTACATACTCTATGTGGGCGGGGCACTGAGGGGAAACGATTGTAACTTCCACTTAAATTTATTATGTTTTTGCACCGTATGAAGCAAGGATTGTCTCCGTTTTTTTTTAATTTGTCTTTGGAAAACAAAGTTATGAATTATCTCTTGTCAATTTATGTGTCATCCCCAAGAAAAAACAAAAACAAAAAATCAACAAATATTTTATGTTTAATTGTAATAATATTAAAATAATTTATGTTTTATAAGGAGTGCAAACAATTCTAATCAAGCATATAATCAAAATCGCAAAAGAAACCAATTAGTATTAAGACATCAATATTTTCAAATGCAACGTATTATTTACAACAATTTTATAGATATAATATGTATATGTATTTCCAGAAAAAAGCACACGAAATGCGAGTCGACGTTGATATTTTGCAAATTGATATTTTAATTGACCTAAGCAAATATTTTTGTATGGACTTTTATGAGTTAAGCGATTCCCGACCACATTCAGATACATGTTAGACTATATTATGCAAGGCCCCATCAAATATCCGCCGAACATATCCATTAACAATAAAAGGCCAAAAGAATTAGCGTTTTATTTGCCTAAGATCCTTAAAGCCAATTTGGCGACAAATTTTACATCTTGCCCAATTTTCCACCATACTCAACATTGTCCATGCCCAAAGATCTCTTTTGATATATTTATTTAGTTGCGCTTTATTCCTTGAGCCTGGCCCCATCCTTGACTGCCTAAGCGATCTCCTCGATTTATGCCATATTAGGTATTTATTTTATTTAAAATTTTGACTGATTATGAGCTAATCATTCTTACATTATAGTTATAGAATCGCAAATCGATTATGGATTGAACAAATTTATTATTTTAAAAACCAAAATCTTTCATTTTATGCATAACATTGACTTTTTGAGACTGAAAGCAATTATATTTAGGGCTTTTATTTTACAATAACCAAAAAAAAAAGAAAAAAAAAAACAAAAAGAATAAGAAAAGAACAAAAATGTTTATTATGATTCCCAGACCAAAAATCAAATACTTCTTATATCCAAATGTATTTTATCATATTTTATATATTTATATACTACAACTGCCATTTTGGGTAGAATTATTATGATTCATTTCCAATGAAGCGCCGAATGGGATGAGTTTATTCTTGATGAATGCAAAGCGAAGACATTTATTGGAATTGATTGGCAGTGCAACTGGCCAAATCATTCAAATTGAACAGAAACAAATGCTAAGACATGTATTAACTTTAATATATATATATTCACATTGTTCACACTTCAAATAAAACACAATTATTTTACATTTACAAATATAAATACATATACTTCAATTTATTATGTTTATTTTCTTTGTACTTAATGTGAGTGTCAAACTGCATTAACAATACTCGATGTGTTCCAGGAGAGATTACAATGTGATTGGCGAGATTGGGATTGGGTTAACAGGACGTAAAAATACACCATAAATTTAAACGAAATGCACCAAAAATTAAACGGAATACAATTTGCATCTATAAAGGCTGAATGTGTGCGGCGTGCTTCTTGAGTTTAAAACTCACAGGAATTCCATTTAGTATGAACAGCCAATGGCCACGCTCAGGAAGTCCTCAAAGGCGATGGTTATGGTTCCATTTTGCTGCGTGTCGCGCTGCCTGAAGGCCTCCGTGAAGCGTTGAACCTGGACGCACAGCACAATAAACTGGTCTACGGATACCTCCTTGTGATTTTGAGGATCACTTTTCTTTACCAGAAAGTTTATGAACTCCGGCGTAAAGCGAAAGCCCATTTGAGTAAATGCTACACAAGAAAAAAAGTAAATGGGCAGCACTTTAATAAATTTACGCACATAGAAAGATCGTTAAATCTTACCTTGTGTGAGCTCGCTCTCCTCAATGTGACCGGAGCCATCCTGGTCGTAGGTCTTGAAGACCTGCAGCCATTGATTGATGTAGTTGTAAAGCTTCTCGAACTCGTAGATATCGATGGTGCCGCTGGCGTCATTGTCGAACATGCCTGTGAGGGTAGCATATAAAAAGAGTGCGATGAGTTAAGTCCAATAAACATAATAAACCGTTAAATAAACAAACAAGAAATGTTTATCAAGATAGTGGGGCTATCGGGCCGTCATTCTAAACAAATATGCACGTGTGAGCGCAAATACCTTTGGATTTTCGGGGCACAAGGCAAATATTTAAGCACCTATGTATAAACATATTTATAATATGAATAAGGAATGCTTCGCAACTTAATGCAAAGTTAATGTAAAATCAAATTAAATGTATATTATAAACACATATAACAAGTCAAAACATATTCCAATCAGATATTATCCACTAACCGAGACACTAATATGTTTAAATTTCCCAATATAATTGCAATGCCCTCTGCAAGTCTGAAAGTAACCCGCCACTGACTCATTGTTAGCCCACATTCCCATTAATACCGTTGCGTGCCTCACTTACTTATCATTAATTTGCAAGCGTTGTCCGAGAATTTCTCGCCGCGCCCATTGATCAAAGCAGCCTGCAGCTCCGAGGCGTTAATCTTGCCAGAGCGGTCCCTGTCCACCATGGCGAACCATTGCTGAGCTTGTGGCGAAACTTGGGCATTCTGTGGCGGAAATGCGCCTGGAGGAGCAGCATAGCCACCGCCGGGCTGTGCATAGGGATTATAGCCGCCGCCCTTTAAGGAAATTGTGCATTAAAATAATTTCTAATTGGAATTAACCATTTTGCCTAACTTACGTAGGACATTTTGTTCGAATGAAATCTGATTCTGACGTTAATAAGACCAGCAACACGAAACACGAATGGGAAAGCACAGCTGTAAATCGATGCACGATGTTAACGGGAGGCGCAAATCGATATATCTCATGCGGTACAACTCTGCTATTCGATAGATATTTATGTCGCTTGTTTATATGTATTTGTGTATTTTTGAGAGGCCGGTATAAACAAGCAAATTATCGCAAACAAGATGTCGCATTTCGTAAATATGGAAGTTTTCTCAAACTATCAAAAGTATATAGACAACGAACAGGAGTTGCGCGAGGTAAGTATCAATATGTTTTAACTTTAGATATCAGCCAGACTGAATAAAGTACATTTCGCAGAACATACGCATTGTAGTGCGGGAAATTGAGCATCTGGCTAAGGAAGCCACAATACAACTACAAGTCATACACTGTGATTTGAGCAAAAGTAAGTAGCTGTGCATGTAATAATTAATATAAATATTAAAATATATTTCAATTAACTATAGTCAACAATGCCTGCAGCTTGGCACGTAAGCAAATCGAAGCCTGCGCCGAAAAATATCAAAAGCTGTCTGCGTTGGTTCCGGCTGGCCAATATCATCGGTGAGACATTGTAGTTTGTAGCCTAGTGTAGGCGTCTTATGTGCCACTTTTTGTACTCTGTACACAGCTATTCCGATCATTGGACGTACATTACCCAGCGTTTGATATTTCTGATTGCGCTGGTCATTTACCTGGAGGCGGGCTTTTTGGTGACGCGCGAAACGGCAGCCGAGCTGCTGGGCTGTAAGTCATTCAAACAAAGCACAGTCCATCAAGTTTAATTTACAGTACTCGAATGTTTAATTGTAAACAGTGAAAACGAAGCATTCGGATGGATTTCATTTGGATATTGAAGACTACTTGCTCGGCATATTGCTGCTCGCCTCGGAACTATCGCGCTTCGCCACAAATTCCGTCACAATGGGCGACTACGAGCGCCCCTTGAATATCTCCCATTTCATTGGTGATCTGAACACGGGCTTTCGTTTGCTCAATTTGAAAAACGATGGTTTGCGCAAACGTTTTGATGCTCTTAAATACGATGTGAAAAAGATCGAAGAGGTTGTCTATGACGTCAGCATACGCGGCCTCTCTAATTCTGCGGAGAGCAAGGATGAGCAAAAAGCAGAACCTGTTGAATAAGTGTTGTAATATGTGCATAGGCTAAGTTAAAAACAAAAAGACACTACAATTATAAGTAAGAGGGCAACTTTAATTTAGCTTGTGCTTTTCTTCTGCTTCATATAAAATGTAAATTGAAATCAAATTTGATAATTAAATGATTGCATCAATTAATTGCATGCACATGGTCACCCTACTCTACCTACCCCACACATTCGCGATCATATGGTCTTTCGAACACTGTTGTTTTGTTGCTTGCCTTATTTACAGCTCTCTGGCTCAGAGTCGGCTCTTCAGTCTCTTTTTTGTCGTTGGCTCGCTTACAACATTGCGCGCGCGTCTTTGCCGTTGTCGACATTTTGGTTTTTTGTTTGTTTGCGTCTTATGTGCTCGTTCCGCTTTAATTTTAAGCGCAATTGGATTAAGCGTGTGTATTTCGCCTGCTATTAAAACGAGTTCTTTTCAATACAATACATACACATACAAAAGTAAGTAAAATGTAACTTAAAATGTATATGCAATATACATACATACGTATACAGAATAGAATGAAAATAAACGGCGGCTCGTCTCACGCAGGCGCCGTGCATTCACCTTTGACTTGACTAGTATCTGTTCACGTTTACCTGCCTGCTAAGGTGAAAATTGCGTTTTGGCCCAGCAACCTAGTCTGTGATGCATTGCTTAATACCAGCAACAACAACAGCTTCAACCTGTTTCTGTTATTTGGGTCACAAGCAAGCCCCTCTTTTCCATTTTCCGCTCATATTAATGTGTGTATGCATGTATGTATGTATGTAAATGCCGCCGCTTGGAAACTTGTTGTGGAAAACAGAGAGAGAGAGGGAAAATATGTATATAAACAATTATTACAAAACAACACAGTTTGTTGCTAGGCTGTTGCTGTTGTTGTTGTTGTTTATTTATTTTTTATTTTCTTAACTCGCAGCTAAACAAGGTTCAAAGTCCAAAACCCAATCTTTGCCGCGCGCTCAGTTGAGTGGGTGAGCGAAAGCTCTTCGACATATACAGACTCAAGCACAGCATTGTAAACATCTGTAAAATACACACACATACATAGACTCAAGCAGGTGCAGTTGTGTGGGGGCGCATGTCTCAGTCGCAATGAGTTTGTATGTGTCTGTGTGTGTGTGTCTCACAAACTAATTGAAAAAGACAACAACAAACGGCGAGACCCCAAGTGAATATCATGCATAAACAACAATCAAAACAAGTTGTTCCGTCAAAGTTTAATTAGTTTGTATTAAGGTTATATTTCAATATTTAAAGTGTGCATATGTAGTATTTAATTTCAATCAAATTGATTGCGTGTACTTCTATGCTTAGGCTTGCTTCAACAGGCACAAGTGAATGATAAAACAGCGCGTGGCAAAATTAAATTTGCGAAACTGGTTCCCTCACCCTCATTCAACGCTGACGCTTTTGCTCGCGCATTTTATGTTATGCTCACAGTTCAAAGTCCAAATGCAAGCGTAGCTGTTGCTGTTTCTGTGGCTTTGGCTGCGGCTGCGGCTTTGGCATAGTGCGATTATAAACTTTAAAAGCTTACGATCTGTCAAGGCTGCAGCACAAATTTCCTTAGTTTGCACAAACAACACCATTTCCCTGGAGGGGAATTAAGGTGATTTATCACCTGGCTAGACTGTTTTAGATGTGTGATAAACGCATTTGCCAAAATTGACTGATAACCGACTTTTTTCGTCTACACTTAAATGCCAACTAGACTATGTCAATGCGTCACGAATTTCATAAAGTTATTCCGTAGTAAAAATTTGGCAGTACTTAAGAACAAGGTTTATCAATCCGCTTGCCGGGGCCTATCGCGTCGGTAATTGCGTTCTAGTTTATGGAATTGGCGAATATTGCAAGACCCCAATGATGAATTGGACTTTAGACAAGCCACTAATGCGATAAAAGAATTATAATAGAAAATATTAACAATATCTAATCGCTGCTACCTTTAAAAAAAACTATTAATATTGTTATAAGATCAGATCAAGCAAAGCAAACCGATTGTGTAAGCAAACAAAATGCGCAAACTATTGATAAAACATAAAAATAAAACCCTATCAGTTCGATTGAAAAGTGAACCTCCAAGGGCGTGGGGTTAATTTTACAGCTTTGCCACTGGAAAAAAGGAACTCTTCGAAATGGAAAATTTTGATTGAGTGTTTACCAAACTATAAGTTGATGAGTGTGACCAAAACAAGATAGATGGTTACCGTCGGTGTGCCGAAGATTTGATACCCTTCCATAGGTGGGATGTACCTAATAATGCTGTGGTTGTTGTACAGCAAAATATTTTCCATTCATTTCTTACTTATACGATTTTTTTCCAATCATTTTTCACTAAGATCTTTAAATATATGTGCACAACATTTTCTATTAATTTCTTACGGCTACAGGGTATTAAAAGATACTCTGTTTCACAAACTAGATGACTTATGCCTGCCTGGGAAACGGGTTTCAATTATAAAGAGATATAAACCTATATATTCCGCTGCATGTCTATGCTCTCTGGCGACAGTTCAAAGTGCAAAAATAATAAGCCGAACATGTGTGTTAGTTTTAGTATTTCAATCAGAGTGCGCGATAAATATGTTATATATGCCCCGCCATATATTCCCGGCTAGCCACAGACCCGACCAAAACAATTCACATTTCTCGCGCTCTTCCATACTCAATGATATGCTATAGATTTATATTTATAGTTACCCACACACATGCGTACACACATATGTATATAGATATATGGGCCTCGGCAGAGATATGTCAGTGACAGGTTTCCGATCCCAGTCCCAGAAGTGGGCGTGTGTGCGCTATAGATTGCCACGCCTCAGGGCAATTCATTAAATGCACATGGCAATACTTGCAGATCCATATACACATGCATGTGCTAAGTAAAACTATTGATAAATTTGTATCGTTTTGCCGGCCAAGAGACTCTCAGTAGCACTTCTGTGCTGCGAGCCCCCCTTTTATACCCTGTAGCCATTCAAAAGGTGTAACAAGGGTATGCATGTCGAGTCGATGTAACCAAATACAGCTGACCGTCAGTTTGTCGCATCGATCTCAGAGACTATAAGAGCTAGAGAATAGAATATCTTAAGTTATTGATAATTAATATATATTGATTTTTCGCCTAGGCTAATTATGCATTTCTCGAAGATAACTAGTGCTAGATACATCAATTTTCGCATATAAGCTACTTGATTGTTGTGGCAGTTCGATGTTGAGTGTAGGGTATCTGTCAGTCGCGTACTTTCAACTAGAGCATTCTTTCTTGTTCTTGGCTGTGACGCAGCAGAGACACACGCTAGCCATGTCTTATATGCCTGTCTGCCTGTAGCTGTATCTGTATCTGTGTCTATAGATGTAAAAGTATCTGTATCTGTAGCTGTAGCTGTATCTGTATCTGTTTGAGTAGCCGGTGACCGCCGCGACGGTTGTTCGCTTTTCGAGACCCCATGCGCTGCTCTCGCCACGCAGCTCAATCAGTTGACGCTCGGCGTTCAGGCGATCAAGTCGTTTCGTTCCATCGCAAAGTATCTGAAAAGAAAAACTATAAACGGAATTCGCTTTTGCTTTTTTATATATATCGTGTTTTAAAGGAAAAGTGCAATTACTTGATATAATTGAATTAAACCGATTAGTAATTTCTACATACATACGCGAAGGTTTGTTTCTATGCAATTGTTCTTGCCGTTGTACATTTTTCACCTCAACCAATTGAAGGTCACAAAAGCGAAAAAGTGGAAGGGAAAAAAACACACATTAATAAAATATATTTCTGCTTTTCAATGCATTTTTTGTGGCTTGCGTTGCATTTGTTTTCCCTTATTTTCTTTACGGTTTCTTGTCCCACATAAAGACTCTCTACACATGCCTCTTCCTCTATAAATATTCTCGGATTTTCGAGTGTGCGGCAGGCGCCTGATAAGCGCGGCAGCACATGAGCACGTCTCTTATCAGCGCATTTTGAGATTTATTTTTTCAAATAGTTTTCTTTTTCCTTTGGTTGTTTTTCTTGGTTATATAAAAGCGCTATAGACAGGGTTAAAAATGTACTCAAAAAAGCTGCTGTGATGCAAAAATAATCGTAAAAAATTAGCCTGGCTAAAAGCGAAAAAAAAAACGTAGACAAACAAAATTTAAAAATTGGACTTTGTACCTTCGTGCACAGCGCTAAATTATTTAAAACGAAGAGAAACAACAACAAAAATATCAACACACTTACTTCTTCGCTTTGCCGTGTCCCCTTGATATATAAACAAAACAACAACAAAAAAATAATAATAATATATGAATGCAGACATGAATATTTAAAAGCCGGTAGTCGATCGTCTAGCAAAAATATAACGCATACGCTGCGTGGACGCCTAATCAAAAGTGGGTCAAACAAAATAACAAACTATTGTTGTTGTCGTTGCCGTGTTTCTTATTTTTATTTTTATTTATTTTTTTTTTTTGATATTGTTGTCGTTTATTATTGCTGCTGTTGCATTGGCCTTCAGCTGTGGCCCGCTCTTGGCTTGTCGAGTTCAAGCCAAGGCCTGTGCTTAGATAGAAAACAACTTTTTAAGTTTGATGCTAATAAAAGCCACTCATTAACTAAATGACTTACCAGTTATTATTCTGCTGCCTTGCTCGAACACACACACACACATTTCTAATAAACACTTCGTATGCACTCAAACAATGCAAATAGCTATTAAATCCGCTCTCGCAAAACACTTGATAAATCAAAGTACGTGCTTGGGTCCACTTCTACAATTAGTTGTTGTAGGCTACATTTCAGTTATTGTTGCTTCAATCAAGTGTCTACAGAGCTGATTTCCAGACAGACAAACCGACTGGCACAATCAATAACCAATGATTGCCTCTTCCCTTCGATTCTCCACAGACTCTTTTAGCTGGGGGCCATCTTATGCCCATATTTGGGGTTATCGCGAGAGGCTCTCGGTGACGTCAATCGAAAATTGCACATTGGCACTTCTGTTATAACATCTCAATTGTATGCAGCGCATTTCCCACTGTTCCTTGTAACCTATTATTAATAAAGTATAAACAATTGCCTAAGGCCTGAGAAATATCAAAGTACAAAGACTGCGACAAATTCGCAGCTAATTTTCAAGTGCATTTATGTTTGCACATTTTAAAACATGCCATGCTCTAGAGCTCTACTCGTAAATATTTTGCAACCTATTTTCACAAAAATGGAAGCGAACAAATAAAAATGATGATAAGTTTAATTACCTAACACATAAAACTGTAAAAATACATAAAATGGGGCTCAAAAATGTTTAATAATTGTTCCACTATGGCTAAATTTTATCTCTCTTTCTCTCTCTCTCTCTCTGTCTTTCTTAATCTCAATATAATATTTTCCCTAATTTCTCTCCCTGGTTCTCTCTCGCTGTATTTTTTCGCATTGTCTCACACTTTGATCTTCACTTTGTCCTAGTCTCACAATATAACACTTTCTCTCTTATTCCCACTATACTTTAATCTCTTTGTCTCTTATACTCTCCTTCTCTCTTTTATTTGGATTTTTCTTACTGATTCTTAAGTATCGCCGTTCTACGCACTTCTCAAAAATGCAAGTGTGGCAAAATTGATTGTTAAGTGATGTGTATAAATAAAACTGCCATTTAAAATGTGCTGTCATCCTCGGACCTCCTAAGAAGAAAAGGGCTTACCTCATATCCGTTAAGTTCAGATAAGGTTATTGTATCGAAAATAATTCTTGGTCAGTTGTGGCTTTGCAATTTATCCAGCCATAAGCAATGTGCACTGACTAATACGGAATGTCTGACGATTCAGCAGATAAGCTCCGCTAATCAGTTGAATTAATTAAGTCCAAAAGCAGTCAATTTGCCAAATCCGTAAGCAGAGTTAATGACTTAATAATAATGTACTTCAATGTGATGGATGCAAATAGTACAAGCTATATATTTTATGATTAAAACACGTATCTAATCTAATCCGTGTGTGTATCTGGTATTTGTTCTTTTTGCAGCACCATTTGGTAGAAATCAGCAGTAGGTATGGCTGAAGCCCATGCCGCCGTCGCCTTCTCGTTTGCGATCACGCACGAGGGCTTCGACATCAACTATGACCACGAGGTACTCAATCTTGTGCTCAATTCGGGCGTGCGCTCCTGGAAGAAACGCGTGGCGCGTGCTAGAGTAAGATAATCAAAGATGCCTCGATTTATTGCATCCGGCATTTAAGCATATATATATTCCTTTCCAGAATGGCATTCGAAATGGCGTGTATCCGGCGCACATACAAAGTCTCTGGCTGATCACGGCCATTGCGCTGGGCTTGCATTTTGCGGGCTATCAGGCGCCCTTCAATTTGACCAACAGAATCCTGGTGCATCTGCCCAGCAACACAATAAACTGGCAGATCAGCGCCTGCTTCCTGGCCGCACTTACCATATGGCTTTCCATCTGCTTCACCATGCGCTACACGCTGAAGCTGTTGCTCATGTACAAGGGATGGATGTATGAGTCGAGGGCGCCGGGCAGTCGTGTTTCCATACCCACCATGCTCTGGGTGGCCGTAGTGCGTGTGCTCTCTAGCTGGAATAAGCCGGGCCTGTACAGTTTTCAGGGCTCGCTGCCACGCCTACCGCTGCCGTCAGTGCATGACACAATGACACGTTATCTGCGCTCGGTGCGCCCCTTGCTGGATGACCAGAACTACGAGCGTATGGAAAAATTGGCCAAGGAGTTTGAGCAGACAATTGGCAAGAAGTTGCAAAGATATCTCCTGCTGAAGAGCTGGACGTCCACTAACTACGTCTCCGATTGGTGGGAGGAATACGTCTATTTGCGCGGTCGCAGTCCGCTTTGTGTGAACAGCAATTTCTATGGCACCGATGCCATCTTCATGAATCTCACCACCATTCAGTCGGCACGTGCCGCCAATGTCATCTCGCTGCTGCTTAACTTTAGACGTTTGATTGAGCATCAGGAACTGCAGCCGATTATGGTGCAGGGCATGATACCGCTTTGCTCTTGGCAATATGAGCGCACCTTTAACACGGTACGCGTACCCGGCCTGGAAACGGATCGCATTGTTCACTATCGGGACTCCAATCACATTGTGGTGCTGCACAAGGGCTGCTACTACAAGATGCTTATCTACTATAAGGGACGCACTCTGCGCCCCTGCGAGCTGCAAGTGTAAGTCATCAAGTTCTTGCGTTCCATTCCACATAATTCATGCTCAATTCTACTCGCTCCTCAGGCAAATCAAGGAGATACTCGAGGCCAAGGCCACCCCATTGGAGGGTGAGGAGCATTTGGCTGCGCTGACTGCCTGGAATCGTTCCAAGTGGGCTGAGGCGCGCAACACGTTCTTTTCACGTGGCATTAACCACGTCTCGCTGCGCACAATTGAATCCGCTGCGTTTGTGCTCTCTCTGGACGATGAGCCGTTCGAGTTTGATCTAAAGCGTCCGGAGCTGCTGGACTCATTTGGCAAGAAGCTGCTCCATGGCAATGGCTACAATCGTTGGTTTGACAAATGCTTCACCGTCTGCGTGGGCAACAACGGACGCGTCGGCTTCAATGCCGAGCACACTTGGTATGTCTTTTATGTTTAAATAAAACAATTAGTTTCTGTGTATTAATCGTTCATGACATAAAGCTGCGTCCGATCGTCTGTCAGAAATCCCTACACTATGCTGTCTTATACAAACCAGTTTTCTTTTGAAATATCCTGAGCAAGCTTGCCAATTATAGCTTTTGTTGTGCTCCTCGCAACTAAAAGAAATCAATTTTATAAATCTCATAATTTAATTCTATAACAAACCATTTTTAGGCTTTATTTTCAACATCAAATGGTCTACAAATCGATTGTAGTTGAGCTTAGATTTAAATATAATGCTTTATGCGAGACTATTTTATATTCGGCAGCCCGAAGACAAATGTTTTTTTCCCATTTCTATAAAATACAATTTTTGAATATTGTGTAAAAAGGTCGGACGCTGCAATCGCCTCACACATGTGGGAGAATCTGATCATTGATGATATTGAAAGTGACGGGTAAATGCTCCGACTATATTTATGTAGAGTTCTACCACGTTCTAGCTGGTGTCGGTTAGCTGCCTTGTTATAGACACATACATGTGTATAAGTTGTACAGATTCTATCGTATCATATTCCCTTTAACCTTGGTTGTGGCTTAATCAATTGTATTTATGAATTTTATTATAGGGCGGACGCACCGGTTATGGGACATCTATGGGAGTATATATTTGGTGATGATATTGAAGGGTAAAACTAAAATTCCAACTAAAACGTCATTGTTAACCCTTAACCGCTAAAAAATCAAACAAGTAACTCGAAACGGTAACCCATAAGAGTTATATCATATTTATATCATAACTGTAGCTAAATGTACTTTAACTAAAGCTGTATACTAATGTAATGCCTAATTTGAAACCCATGTTTTACCAGCCTAACCGACTTTGCTTAAAACTATTTATTCATGATTCATTATGCTCTACTAATCCCACTTCACAATAAAACCTCAACAGATATGACGAGACGGGCAACACAAAGGGCATACCGGAGTTTACGCCGCCATCGCCCACACGTCTGAATTGGGATTTAAAGCCGTGTCTGCCACAGATCGAGGAGGCGACCATCAGTGCCACGAAACTGATCAATGAGGTCGATCTGCGCATACTGGTCCATCAGGAGTACGGCAAGGGCTTCATGAAGAAGTGCCGTCTGTCGCCGGATGCATACATTCAAATGGTGCTGCAGCTGGCCTATTATCGCGATGCTGGACGCTTCTCGCTGACGTATGAGGCCTCCATGACGCGCCTGTTTCGCGAGGGACGCACTGAAACCGTGCGGCCCTGCACCATAGAGTCGGCTGCGTGGGTAAAGGCCATGGAGAATCCCAGCACAACGGTAAGTGAACATTCCTGCAATGAAATCCAAACTATAATAGCGCGCGTGATTCTTATATTTATATTTCAGAACGATGAACGTGTGCAGCTGCTGAAGGAAGCCTGCGATCGCCATCAGTTGGGCTATCAGGATGCCATGTGCGGACGTGGCATTGATCGTCATCTGTTCTGTTTGTATGTCGTCTCAAAATACCTGGAAGTGGATTCGCCCTTCCTGAACGAGGTGCTCAGCGAACCGTGGCGCCTGTCCACTAGTCAAACGCCGCATGGCCAGACTCCAAAAATGGATTTAAAGAAGCACCCGAATTGCATTAGCGCCGGCGGCGGCTTTGGACCCGTTGCCGATGATGGTTATGGCGTGTCCTATATTATAGCCGGTGAAAATTTGATATTCTTCCATATCTCAGCGAAGACCACATGTGCGCAGACGGTATGCGATTAATTGCTACTCCAGTTAAAATAAAAATAAAAACCTAATAATGATGTCATTACAGGATGTGCACCGATTTGCTAGGAATATTAGCCAGGCTCTGGCTGACATTCGCAGCATGTTTGAGCAGCACATGAAGGATCATCCGAAGCCCGCCAAGTCTCTCACAAATGGCGTCTCCAAATAATGCATAGTCCTAATTGTAGTGAAACTCTTGCGAGATTCTTGTTAGCATTTGTTTTTACTTCTCTAGTTATTCGTTTTAACAATCATCAAACATATTGTCTATTGTAAGTTTTCAATATAAGTGCAAAAGTGTTTGGAGAAAACGTTTTAAATCAAAATCCACGCGAAATGAGCAATGCAATCGTATGTATACATATAACTAAAAGAAAAATTCGTGACAACTTGGCTGATTTTTAAGATCTAGTTTTAGCAGCTTTTGCACAATTTGCTGTTTCTCAATTAATTAGTTTGTAAATGAAAGAAAAAATATCATTTTAACTTAAGGCTAAAAAATATATAAATATATATGTATAGTGCATTAACTAATGCAATCCCGATCATCGCATTTATCACGCTGCCAGCGGATTTGCATGGATAGTTACTCCATTGATTTTCTTGTCGACATGTGGACGATAGTTTTTTGGATTTACGGGCAGCTTTTCCAGTTCATCAAGCGCATCGAAGCCATCAATGACACGTCCAAATAGCGTATATTTCAAGTCCAGATTAGGCTGCGCAGCGTACGTAATAAAAAACTGGCTGGCATTCGCGTTGGGTCCATTATTTGCCATGGAGACCATGCCTCTGTCTGTGTGCTAAGACCAAATAATTAGTTGTTATAGGCAATTTTTTATTTTAATACCTTTATTGTTTCCTTAAACTCGTCATCGAACTTGGTGCCCCAAATAGACTGTCCATTCTTGCCCGTATTAGTTGGATCGCCGGTTTGCACAATAAATCCCTTGATGTTCCTTATGAAGCAACAGCCACTGTAATAGTCACTTGCGCATAAGGCCAAGAAATTCTCGCAGGCTTTGGGGCAGGCCTCGCAGAAGAGCTCGATTTTAATATCGCCCACGTCGGTGTGCAGCGTTACTGACTGGAATATGTGATCAAATATGTGAAAAAAAATATAATTAGCAAAACGCGGCGTTTGTTTACCATTTTAGCAGCTGATCTCCGAATTTCGACCTCGAAAGATATTAAGTTAGCTGCTATTGCTTGCGATATATATCGCTTACACGGACGCAGAGCTGTGTTGGTTTCTGTTATCGATGAGTCTGCCAGCCATAAAATGCAACGATGTTTTTTCCGTAGTGCACATCGCTGACTGAGTTTTGGGCGCGAAGTCAGCATTCCTCGCAGAAAAATAACACTAAGTAAGTTATTAAATAAGTTAGAATGAAGTGCAAAATACCCGAAATCTCTTGGCACAATCGCGACCCCGTGCTGAGTGTAGATATACAATCAAACGGCGTGGGCCTAAGTGCACCTACGATGTGCCGCCTCGCCTCGGGCGGCACCGATGCGCACGTTCTCATTTGGTACGTAAATCAAAGTGAAGCAGGCGAGGGCGTTGCACTGGAACTGGCTGCGGACTTGGCGAGGCATCAGCGTGCAGTAAATACAGTGCGCTGGTCACCCAATGGAGAACTGCTCGCATCTGGCGATGACGAAAGTGTTGTCTTTATATGGAAACAAAAAGCGGAGCACGAAGTGGTCAACATTGTGGATGCTGATGGCAACTGTGAACAAGATCGAGAAGTGTGGCTGACGCTGAAAGTGTTGCGTGGCCATCGGGAGGATGTCTACGACTTGAGTTGGGCGCCCAATTCGCAGTTTCTAGTCACAGGCTCTGTGGACAACACTGCCATGTTATGGGATGTGCACAAGGGCAAGTCTCTGGCTATATTGGATGATCACAAGGGCTATGTGCAAGGCGTCGCCTGGGATCCGTGTAATCAGTTCATAGCTACCATGAGCACGGATAGGTGAGTGACTGTCTAAACTACAAAGTGCCTTCTTTATTATTATTTCAAAATCTTTGCAGGCATTTGCGCGTATTTGATGCAAATACGCGACGTGTACTGCACCGTGTCAGCAAATCCACGCTGCCCGTCAAGGAAGGACATGAGCTGCACGGCCGCAGTATACGCCTATATCACGATGGCACGCTGCAAACCTTCTTTCGGCGACTTTGCTTTACGCCTGACGGCAAACTGTTGCTCACACCCGCAGGCGTAACAGATTACGATGGCGTGATGAAGCCCACGAATACCACCTATGGTTACAGTCGCTACGATCTGAGTAAACCTGCCTTTGTGCTGCCCTTTCCCAATGAATACACCGTGGCGGTGCGATGCTCACCCGTGCTGTACCGTCTGCGACCGTACGATGCGGACAAGAATCCGCCGATTATTACGCTCCCATATCGCATGATCTATGCGGTGGCAACCAAGAACTCGGTGTTCTTTTACGATACGCAACAGCCGGTGCCGTTTGCCATTGTCTCCAACATACATTATACGCGGTTAACCGATCTGACCTGGTCCAATGATGGCAATGTGTTAATCGTCTCCAGCACCGATGGATTTTGCTCCCTGTTGACCTTTGCCGAAAACGAACTGGGCGAGCGCTATGAAGAAATGGATGCAGTGCTGTGCGCTGTTGCCAAGACATCGGAGAATCATCATCAACCACGCAATCGCAAGATGAAGCGACAAAAATTGCGAAAACCTTCGGCAGATGAATCCGCGAGGCGTCGACCGCTACAGGAGAAAACCAAGCCCAATAAAATTGAGACGAAACACAAGCTAGGTAAGGACAGAGCAAATGAGTGCAAAGAAAATGGAGAAACTGACTTGGATGCGGAGAACGATTCGTCGCTGCAGAGTAGCAGCTCGGCAACCTCCGCGGGCAGTCCCAAGCCTGTGCCCAAAGCAGACGTAAAGCCCACGCCCATTGCCATCAGACGTTCACCTCGCAAAATGCCGGAGCCCACAACTATTGCAATACGCCGTTCGCCGCGCAAAATCACAGAAGCCACGCCCACAGCTGCTGCTGTCACTGAGACAACGGCGATTGCCGTCAAACGTAAGGCCAGTGATGATGGAGAACCCGTGCAGAGCATGCCCAAGAAGCCAATAGGGGTGCTGCATAAGCCCATCGAAGCTGTGCTTGATAAGGAGATCATTAGCTCGGATGAGAAGTTCGAGTCGCCGGAGAAAAAATGTAGGCCAGCCACGCCCATACAGGTGCGCAGACAGCCGCGCACGCCGGGCAGCAACAGCAGCAATAACAATACGCAAACGCCCAAATCACTGCCCGCCAAACATGCCACGCCCATTGCTGTGCGACGCACACCGCGCGTGCTCATCGAAGCGCCCGTCGTGAATGCGCCCGTGGTCGTCGAGGAAGCCATGGACGCCTGGCCGCTGGCCATGGATGGCATAAGTCCGCTGCCAACCAAGGAGAAATCACCCAGCAAAGATACGGAGGCGAAAAAGGGCAAAGAGACGCAGCTGGCCATCAGCGAGGCGACTTGTGAGCGCACCGAGGACATACGCCTGGTCTACGAGGATACCCAAGAGGAGGCGGCCACGCATGTTAAGGCAGCAGAACCCGTCGCGCCCGTTGCAACGGCTACGACGTCGGTTGCCTCGCCGAAGCCTAGCACGCCGAATGCGAAGACGCCACGACGCGTATCCTTGCGCACCATTTCGACGCCCAAGTCCAAAAAGAAACTTTTAGAGTAGAATTGTTAAGCATACGACAGATTTAGCTTAGCCTTAATACATTTATATCCATTATTATATTTAAATAAAACGCACACACACAGACGGTAACAGATGAAAGCTGATGACACAGCCCGATGATGAATTTCCTGCCTTCCAGATGGACAACCATGCATATCGTCTGGCACATGCACAGCAGCCGGTTAGCAGTTCCAAGAAGAATGTGATCACCAAACAAATACTTGCAGGGGATTCACTGCTGCTAATCGATGCAGCCAAGCGCCCGTTGGATGAGTACGTGCAGCCACTATGCCAGCTATACAAGCTGGTCAAGAGCAGACAGCAGCACATGATCCTTGTGCTGGTGGCTACGCGCAAACGTTTGCTGCAGCTGCGCTCGCAATTTGAGAAGCAGTTGGACAGCCGGCAGGACCTTATCAGTGCAGCAGAGGAGTCAGAGACAGCAGCCCAGCTGATGTGCCAGCGTGCTGGCCTGTTGATTGCGACCACAGCGGAGTTCAGCGCTTTGATGACACAGACGCCGCAGCTGCTAACAGACGCTCATTTGGACTGCATTGTCTTCGACGAGTTAGAGCGGCTGCAGGCTTATGGCGGCGGCTGCTTTCAGGCGCTCAAGCTGGCGCTCTGGCAACTGTGCAGCAAGCCGCAGCTCGTGGTGACCTCGCGACTGTGGCTGGCTGCAGAAATGCAACAACTTTTGCAGCAGGCCAAGCAGCCGCTGGTGTTGCTGCAGGAAGCGCTGGAGGCAGCCGTCTATGGTGGCCTGCAGCTGCAAGTGGAGCTGGGCAACAGCGGAGCACAGCAGATGCAGCAGCTACTGGACTATCTGCAACAGCAGCCATATAAAAAACAACGCACGCTGATTTACTGCGCCAGTGAAATGGATTTCCAGGAGCTACAGCAGCAACTGCCCAAGGATGACTGCCTGCTGCATCGCGGTCGAGGGGATAAACCGCGCCTGGACCGCTGGCAGCGGCAGGTAAATAACAAATAGCTAATAAAACTTTAAATAACCGATTGAATATATTTTGTTATTTTCATAGAACACTGGCCAAATATTGTTGCTGGGCGCACATGCGCCCGAGTTGCTTGTGGACAACGTTCAGTCTCTCATACACTTCAACATGCCGTCCACTTGGAGGCAGTTTAGAAAGCGTTTCGCTGTCTTTAAAACCCAAATACCCAATGCACTGATCCCCACCACAAACCAGAAGCAGCTGCAGTCCCTCATTCTGCTGAATAAGCAGAGTCAACGAATGCTGCCTCAGCTGATGGCGTTCATGCAGCAACATGGACATCCCATCGATGAGAAGCTGACTGCGGCGCATGCGCAGCTGCAGGCAGCACATGAGGCGTCCTTGGTGGCGCGTCAGTGCGTCATTTGTCCTGTGTTGCTGCTGCATGGCCATTGCCTGACGCCTACCTGCCAATATCGTCATCTGCTGGCGGACGTCGACAGGAGCTGTGCGACTGTACCAACTGCGGGATGTATACGCTTTCAGCTGCTTAAGGTGAGCTGAAGAAGGGTTATATTATAATATAATTTTGTATGATATTCTGCAAATCTTTAAACAGAAGAAGAACGGCAAAGATGAAATAGTCAAAGGTACCGGGGTTAAGGTCATGTAAAAGAGGCGTCTAAAAGATAATCGCAGGGATGATCACAAATTGATCAGCTTTTATAGCGTTTGTTGGTCGCCTCAAACCTTTAGACAGATAGAGAGCCATATCACAGAGATTAAAAAAGCTATAGATTTCAAATTTGGAATGTGAGTTCTCATGCCTTAAAGGTTTATTTCTCGATAACTTACAGCATTTTCCCAAAATAAATAAGTTTTAAAATGCAGTGACAGTGCAATGACAAAATATTATAATATATTATATTATATAGCAGATATACTTGACAGATACTTTTTCCTGAGCAATCCAATCCAACTCGAGTTTAAAGGTTTGTGAATGAGAACTGGAATCTATCAACGTATAGTTGCAGGATTATTATGAATGTCTTATATGTCTCCTTACATGATTGCCCAATTCTCGCTTACAGATCTGCACACCCTCCCACTTTGCGGCTCGTTTGGTGGCACATAGAGCAACAGCTCAATCTGCGTGGGGTACGATTCCTGTGCAGCAGCAGTATGTGGAACTGCAGCAACAATTGATTAGCTACTATGCCATGCCGGAACATTGTGTGGTACCCAATCTTCAAGAGCTGCAGCAGATTTGTGTGCGCCAAATAGCCGCCAACTGTTATGAGCGTGTTTCCGTCACTTTTGTGCCACCCGCTGATTCTGCTAGTTCCGAGCAATATCAAAATATGACTGTGCGCGTCAAGCATTTGGACTTAAATACGGTCATCTGCCATGCGAAGCTTTCGGAGCTACTTGTCTGTCCGCTGGCTTGGCAGCAAATCGATCCATTGGCCCTGGATGTGCGTCTGATTGGCTTGGTGCCCTACAATGGCGAGGAGATATGGCAGTGCGGCGAGATTGGGCCAATTGCTGAGCTACTGCATCCCGGCGGCATCTATGAAGCAAATGTTGTCTCTGCTATGGCACACACAATATTCGTGGATGAGCTGCAACTGCAGAAAGTTGGCTATGAGGAGCAGCTGCAAAGGCAATGCCTGGGCAAGTTTGATGTCAATGCAAAGCGACGTTTGGAGCAATTAGTAAAAACAGCTGCCAGCTAACATCAGTTACCTAAAAGTAATTAATTAAAGAATAATCAAAAGAATAAACAATAACTAAAAAAAATCAAAAACTGCTGCCACAAAATGCTGTTAAGGACAAGATTCAAAACTCTTTAACCTACTCTAATAACCAGATATTAACAAGAACAATCGCGATATTGGGCATTTCAATTTCGTAAGCAAAAATATATAATAATGGACCTTCAAAAAACACTAATGATGATTTTATATTTCAGTTTATATATAACTTACAACTGCCTCGGGAAAATGTGAAATGTTTGGGGAAGCCTTTGAATTGTCATCGTTAGTCCTGCTTTTTGCGATTACGAAAAGGTAAGTTTTTTGTTATCTTTATACTATACAAAGAATTATAAAGAGGAAAATTTGCTGATAATTACAATTAATCATATTCGCATATGAATGTATTTAACTCGTGCAAATGGTAGATCCTAAAAGAAAATATCTTTCAGCACTTGACTATGTTAAGGGAATAATATCTCGGCCAAATACTGTCAGATTTTTTAATTTTACACCATTTTGGACTCGTAAGAACCAGTACTATCGACTGGCATTAAAAAAATGAAAATCTAAATTTTGACCGGAATCGACAAAAAAAGCAAGGGGTTACATCACGTTTTTTGCCAAAATCGGGTTCGGATCGAAAATCAAAACTTGTTGATCATTTTTTTCGAATATCTCGGGTAAATATCGTATAATTTCGGAATGTTATACCTTTTTAAATTCGTACGGATCCCTACTATCAGTTGGCATTCAAACAAATTAAAAATCAAAGGGCTAGAAAAAGTTGTTGACCAAAATGATGGTTTTTGATTATTTTTTTGAATATCTCGGCCAAATAATGCCCGATTTCGGAGTTTTATATTATTTTGGACTCGTAAGAATCAGTACTATCGACTGGCATCAAAAAAATGAAAATATAAATTTTGACCGGAATCGACAAAAAAGCAAGGGGTTACATCACGTTTTTTGCCAAAATCGGGTTCGGATCGAAAATCAAAACTTTGTTGATCATTTTTTTCGAATATCTCGGGTAAATATCGTATAATTTCGGAATGTTATACCTTTTTAAATTCGTACGGATCCCTACTATCAGTTGGCATTCAAACAAATTAAAAATCAAAGGGCTAGAAAAAGTTGTTGACCAAAATGATGGTTTTTGATGATTTTTTTGAATATCTCGGCCAAATAATGCCCGATTTCGGAGTTTTATATTATTTTGGACTCGTAAGAATCAGTACTATCGACTGGCATCAAAAAAATGAAAATATAAATTTTGACCGGAATCGACAAAAAAGCAAGGGGGTTACATCAAGTTTTTTCTCAAAATCGGGGCCGATTCGAAAATCAAACATTTTTAAATGTTTTTTTTGAATATCGGGTAAATATCATCTGATTTTGAAATGTAATAATTTAATTTAATATTTCGGAATAGAACTTTTTGGGGATATATTTTCTGGAATGCTCTTGAGCAATTCTGAACATCTATAATTGTTTCTTAATAGTCCTGCTGTGAGCTGCTACAAATCCAAAGTCTTTGGGTTACAGTCAAATCATACTTTGAAGAGAGAATCTTTATTATTGAAATGATCTTTAAACTAGAAAAAATGTTGTGTGCTTTAGTATCACAAGCTCTTCGTTCGAAAATTGTTGTGGTTAATAAGGCAAATGGAAATATGTGCGAAGCTTGTGTTTTTTAATTTAATTTTTATTTAAATTTTAGATGATCTAACATTTTGAGTTTCTTTTACATACAAACATTTTGTTTTGTGTACTTTTCATTTATTTTGTAATCGTTTTTCTTGTATTATAATTATAATTTATATTAAATTTGTAATTCAACGATTCGATTTTATTATGTCAAGTTAGTAATTTGTTTATATCTTCTTCACAAGTTTTTTTTTTTTTAATTTGTTTACTTGCTCGTTTCACATTTAAAAACTGCTGCTCAAGGGCTTGGTTCATACATAGTTCGTACACGAGGAATGCAAAAAATTGATTTCTGTACTTCGTTTAGCTCGCTCTGAATTTATAAAATTGTAAATTCATGGGACAAAATACATTAGAAATATGATTAAAGTTGTTCTCTTCGTTTAATAGATTAAACAAGAGAAATTATGATTTGCTGTACTGTGTTTATAGGTGAACAACAAAAGAAATTCGAATTGGGCTAAAAAATTTAGATACAACATCTAAAGTTTGTCTACCTAGAAACTCTGGTTCCATATTCCGCTAGCCACTCTCCACCAGCTCTTTACAAACTTCAACATTCTTTTTGTTCTTGTTCTTGTTGCCAATGCGTTGAGTCGTTTCTCATTTAAGTTTATTATAATTTGTATATACGATTTTTAATTTTTCCACAAATCAATGTTGGTTTTGCATCTTATAAATTTTAACTGCTATTAAAGTAATAGTTATTTTTTTCACTGTAGTAGTGGTGCGGCTTTTGTGAGTGTGTGTGGGTGTACGGTATATAAGTGTGTGTGTGTGTTGAGTGTGTGTTACATATTGGAGCAAAAAGTTGTATGAGCGTTTTTTAGAAAAATATGAAATATGTTCGCTATATGAATTGAAGTTTTAATTTACTTTATGTAAAGTTGACTTTTTGTTTTTGTTAATGGCAAATATGCAAAAATGTTTATTAGTATTTGTTTTTTTTTTTTTGTTTTTGTTTTGTTTTGTTCTGTTTTGTTTTGTAGTTTGTTTTGACAAAGTATGGTATATGCATACGTATTTTGCATTTTGTTTATTTGTATATGTACTATTATGCGTTATGTAAATTGTAGTTTTTATTTTGTAGAGTTACAAAGTTGAGCTAGATGATTCTTAAGTTTCAAGAAAAAGTATAGTCATTTTGCATGAGTATTTAAAAAAATAAAATAGCGAAAGTCTTGTTCGTATGTGTTTCATGATTATGCAGTTAGTTACATAATTTACGAGAAAAATATAGTACATATGTGTATGTTTGTTGTTCTCACTATTTATATATATATTTTATTTATATAAAGATCGCTCGTTTTATTTGTGAGTTTTTTTTTTTATAGTTATATGATTAAGTTCTTGTGTGCTTTTTTTCCTTTTTTATGTTTATAAATTACATCAGTTGTAGTTACAAATATTTGTTGTTCTTTTTTTCGGTTGAATTAAATTTTTTAATATATATATTCATAAATTTTTTATATAATTACATACAATTTAGTCAAATTAGAAGAGTTCACACCGGTTTGCTTTATACTCTTTCTTTCTGCTTGTAAAAGTGAACTGTGAGTGTGTGTGTGTGTGTGTGGTGTGTAGGGTATTGTGTGTGTGTGTGTGTGTGAGTTTGCCTTGCCTGGGACAATAGCAGCATCCAATAAAATTTGTTTTGTCTAATTTTATGCAGCTCATTTAACCAGCTGCAAGAAAAATGTGGAGAATAAAGAGTTTGGCTGTTTGTTTTGTTTTTGAATAAATAGTTTTTATTTGAAAATGATTTTTTAAATATTTTTTTTTTTTTGTATTTTGGTAGAATTTTACAAGTTGAATGGAAAGTACATACGATAAATATTACAGTGTTTGTTTGTTGTGGTTGGTTTTTGGATAGGTTTAAGGAGTGTTTGTTGGGTTTGTTTAATTTTGCTTGTTGTCAAATTGCATGGGGTATGCTTAGAAAACTGCTCATAATATGGCATTCAACTACAAAAGTATCTCGTATCTCGTAGATACACAATGTAACCGCACAAGTATCTACGAAAAATGCGTTGTTCAACAACTTTTGCATAGTTTACACACTGGTTGTTTTTTTTTTGTTTTGTATCAAGTGTATTTTGGTTTATGAGATATTTTGTCAATTGTTTTCAAAATGTTAAATGATATTTATTTTGCTAATAAACTTACTAACTTGTTGTTTTTGTTTAAGTTGCGTGTTGCATGTGTTTTACATAAATAAGGCTTAAAAACTATAAAACATAAATGGATTTCGCATAGAGCAAGAGCACAAAACTGCAAAAAACATACTAGTATATAAGGGGAAAAGGAATTTGGAGCTAGAGAGAGTGGGAGTAGAGAGGAGCTCAGAAGAGAGACAGAGAGGGAGAGAGAGAGAGAGAGGAGAGAGAGAGCTGTTGTATAATATACAAAAATACTATAAAATAACAATTATAAATTCATTGTGTAAAATCAAAATGCACAATCATACATACATTAAAGAAGTTGCATAAGCATATGCATATGCATAAATACATTAATAAGTGTGTATAAATAAGTCTAAACAAAATTAACAGCTGCAACCGCACAGTGTTAAATGCCATTCACTAAATACAATAAATGTTACAATTAATATTATTATTATTAATATTAATATTATTATTATATATAGTATGTATATGCTTTATAAATATTACATACAATGCGTTTTACAATGAACTGTTTTCTATTTTGTTTTGTTTTATTTTTTCTTGTTGTTGAGATTTTCCTTCCGTTTCCTTCCTATTTTCTCAGTTTCTATTGCGAGTTTCTTTGTGTGTCAAGTTTTGAATTGAATTACATATTATAAAAGATACAATCGTATGTGGCTTTATAAATGCAACAAAATTATATTAATTACAATAAATTAGTGTACAAAAATTAAAGTTAGTTTGTGTGGCTGTGTGTGTGCGTGTTCGCGTGTTTGTGCGTTATGTGTGTGTGTGTGTGTGTGTGTGTGTGTGTGTGTGTGTGTGTGTGTGCGATTTGTAGCTGCTTCAGCTCGATTCTCGATTCCTTCTATATATGGTATGCATATATTTTTTACACACACGCAAATTTCAACAAATTACAATTTACATCGATCTATATAATCGAATTATGGCTGGCTGGCTGGCTGCATCGAATTCGCAATTTTTTGATAGTAAATACAAATAGTTTAGAGAGTTTTCCTTTCATTTTTGTCCGCTTTTTGTTTTGTTTTGTTTTTTTTTTTTTTTTTTTGTATTAAATTAGGACTTATATATTAGAGTTTTACGTTTTTTCATGTTAATTTTGTTTTGTTTTTGGTTTGTTCATTTGCTTTATCATTACGTTATGCTTTAAGTATTATGTTTAAATTTGTTTTTTTTTTTTTGTTTTTGTTTTACTTTTCTTTCAATAATATTTATACGCATTCTGCTAATTCATTGCCCAGGGACTTGGTTTGTTATTACTTTTGTTGCATGTTTAATTCGCGCAGAGAGTTTGTAAACTTTGAACTTAAGCCTAAACAAGCATGAGAAATGCAGCGTTGATGGTATGAATAATTTCAAAGAGATTGCAACAGGAAACATTTAATATATATATATATAATATAATATTTATATACTTAGATGCCGTGATATATACGTTATACATATGTATACATATATTTATCATATATACTTTGTTCAATTCTTTACTTTTTACTTTTCATTTGGTTTAAATTTTTTGTTTGTTTTTGTTTTTTGTTTCTTTTTTTTCGTTTTTGTTTCAATAAATACACGAGAAACTAAACTACACATAAATTATGAAATTCTATAAAATTATTCAGACCAAACAACAACTACATATTATGCATTAATGCTTGCGTTATGCGTATGTTTGTGCGTCCGTGTGTATGTGTGTGTGTGTGTTTGAGTGTTTTTGTTGTGTGTGTGCGTTTCATGTCATACATGTAGCTTTGCATGATGCAAATGTAAAGCAAATATAGGAAAAATGCTCTTCAATATGCTTGCATTTCTGCTTCTCTCAATGTTTTATGTTTTTTATACTTTTCTCTTTTAGTCAGCTGCCTCGTCAACTAACTCTCGTTCTCAATAATATTTTAAGCACATACAGATTCTCATACTCTGCTGAGTGAGTGTGTGTTTGTGTTACAACAAATAAAAGTTCTTTGGGCTTTGCTTTTGCTTTGTGTGTATGTGTGTGTGTGTGTGTTGTTTGTTGTGTGTTGGTTCTATCATCATTTGCTTTTTTGATCAATGCTGGTGGGTTGTTGTGCTCCCGCGCTGTATTATTCTTGTTTTTGTTATTATTTTTCATAATTTTTTTTTTTCTTTTTTATATTTTGTTTGTAATACCGTAACGGTTCCCGTTTAGCCCCGCCATCACGTCTTAGTACAGGCCGCAGCCGCGCAGATTGTTTGCTATGATGACATCGGTGACAGCATCGAATACAAACTGAATGTTGTTGGTGTCTGTGGCGCAAGTCATGTGGCAGTAGATTTCTTTCGAGGTTGATTTGTTTTTCGCTTCGAACTGGGCCTGAATGTAGGCTGCCGCCTCGCCATACTCCTGGCCACCTATAAATTCATTACAATTCAAATCAATTAGAATCGTATAGTCTTCCACTTTTTCAAGTACTTACCTGTGTATTCGGGAAAGCAAATTGTCAGCGGACTCTTGCGTATCTTCTCCTCGAACAGATCCTTTTTGTTCAGGAACAGTATAATCGACGTATCCGTGAACCATTTATTATTGCAAATGGAATCGAACAGTTTCAGTGATTCTTGCATGCGGTTCTGCGTTTAATTCGTGTGAAATTTTCCTCTTAGTTTCGATTTGTACATATAATGCTTCTCTATTCTTTTGACTTACCGTAGTTTCGTCCTCATGCAAGACCTGATCGTATTCAGACATCGCCACGCAGAATATAATCGCTGTCACATCCTCAAAGCAATGTATCCATTTCTTGCGCTCAGATCGCTGGCCGCCCACATCAAACAATCTGCAAAGAGGCATGGCATTTGGGTTATTTAGCAAAATAAAACATGAGTCTTTCTACGTTTCTTTTTCTCGTATAACAAGCTTATGATTTAAAGCTTAAATCATATGTGTTTCTTATCTTTTACTTTTTATTCTAATATATTTTTATCTTTTCAGATCGACGTATTTTGCTATCGATTTTATGGACTTCCGCGATAAATGGCCAATAAAAATAGCTTAAGTCCTAAATAAAATAAAATAATTCACAACAACCAATTTAATGTAAATCCTATGGACCTCCACGAGTCTAACGCGCTCAATCTTCCCAGGATCTGGCCGGGATATGATCATTTTAAGTTTTTTCAACGAACATATTTTGCTGTTTTTTGTTTAAACGAATATTTTTTGCTGTTTTTTGTTTTTTTTTGCCATTTTTGCCACGCTCCAGCCGAATAAACAATAACAAACGATAGTTCCTAGATGACCCATATATCCTTGGTTTTACCATGCCAAAGATATCGTCCTGGTGAACCTACACGACCGAGATGGTCAAAAAATATGAATGCTTTTTCTTTCAGCCGCCCCTCAGAAACAACCCCATCTCCCTCGTTGGTACCTAGTTGACCCATATATTCTTGGTTATACCATACCATTGCTATAGTCCTGGTGAACCTAAAGGACCAACTTCCTGCGATATGAGCATGGAAACGGTCCAGAAATATGTCGCTGTAGCTAAACATAATGTTGTGGCTGCTGCTAAAAACGACAGCAAAAGTATGCCCTTGAAATTTGCGATCGTTGATTTAGCAGTTTACTGTTAAGAATATTTTTGCACCTTGTGGGTATGCAATGCAATTTTTCATTCATAAAAATTTTAGTTCGTCTGCCTACTGGGCATTTCTGGTCGCCTGATACTTCAGCCGAATTTTCGGTAAAATCTTAGCACCCGGCTGCTCCTCCGCACGCCCCGTTTGGGTATGCAATGAAATTATGCATTCATAGAAATTTTAGTTCGTCTACCTGCTAGTCATTTCTGTTCGCCTGGTATTTTTGCTAAATTTTCGTTAAAATCGAACGCCCCCTTTTTAACAGTGGCATGTTAATTAACAGCGGCACCTGCTGGTTAACAGCGGACTTTTAATTAACAGCTGCTAATTAACAGTGTACTGTTAAATTACATTTTTTCTGTGCATCTACCTGCTGGTCATTTCTGTTCGCCTGGTATTTTTGCTAAATTTTCGTTCAAATCGAACGCCCCCTTTTTAACAGCAGCAGCTGCTGGTTAACAGCGGATTATTAATTAGCAGCTGCTAATTACTAGGGGACTGTTAAATTAACTTTTTTCTGTGCATCTACCTGCTGGGCATTTCTGTTCGCCTGGTATTTCAGCTGAATTTTGCTTTGAAAATGTGAGCCAACTGCCGGGCACATTGCAATGGGGATTTTACGACCGTTAATTTTTAAACATTAATTGAAGTGTGGATAACGCTTTTAAGCGAATTTTGTTGGGATTTGCAACTATAGGTCCCCAGGACTCTATCAATGGTATGGTACAACCAAGGATATGTTGGTCATCTAGGAACCATAGAGGGAGTAGGGGCTGCTGTTGGTACGGTTATAAGAAAACGCATACATATTTATCTTTCTGGCACATTTCCGAGCAAATTTTGCACGGATTTAGACATTTAGGTTCACCAGGACTCTATCAATGGTATGGTAAAATCATGGATATGTGGGTCCTCTAGGAGCCATAGAGGGAGAAGGGTTGGCTAAAAGAAAACGCATACATATTCATGTTTCTGGTACATTTCCGAGCAAATTTTGCATGGATTTAGACATTTAGGTTCACCAGGACTCTACCAATGGTATGGTAAGGCCATTGATATACGGGTCATCTAAGAACCATAGAGGGAGAAGGGTTGGCTAAAAGAAAAAGCATACATATTTGTGGACCACTTCCGAGAGAATTTCGCGCGGATTTGACCTTTGATTTAAAAAACTTTTACGTTTTTTGCGAAAAATGGCTTTATTTCAGAAATCAAAAAACTCTGATGGCAATCTATTTTATGGATGGACATTCACGAGCAGTTTTTTGTTTTCTTTTTAAATTCTAAGCTTGGAAATAGCGTGGACATTCTTGGCTTGTTCGAACTCTGTAGTTAACTGCATAATTAGACGGGCTGAAGATTCTGATAAGGCAGATTATTCAAAAAATGGATCCTATTTTGTATTGGAAATTAAGAATTTTGTAAAAACAACTCGGATAAATGGAATCCTATCTTTTATTTATCTTTTGCAGCACTTTTTTGCGTTCTTTCTTCTTTACATCTCCCTATGAGCAGCATATTGTGGTATTTTTTGGGTTTACTGATCGCATGAACTCTAGTTTAGTTCTTTTTTTCATTAAGCATTATTATATTTTTCATTTATGAGTTGTTTCCTAATCAACGTTTTTGCAATAAAATTAAATAAAAATAGTTTGTTGGCTTTAATAGGTATTAAAACATGAACTAATTTTATATTTTAAATAAATAAATAAAAATCAATTTATCAATAAATGTTGCCTATTCAATATTTATAAGCAAAACGGAGCAACTTTAGCTATTTGTGCTATGCCTGTCTTTTTACTTACTTGAAGTTGAGATTTTTGAAGGAGAAATGAACCTCGACAATGCCGGTTGTCTTGACTCGGGTGCGCAATATATCCTGCTCGGTAGGCTGATAGTCCTTGGCGCCTAACCGATCCAAATCATCCAGGAAACTGCAAAAAGCAAACAGACAAGCAATCATTAGTAGGGCAAAATGCTGTTGTTTGTTCAGGCAAGAGGGTGAGGTGAGGTTGGCTAAAGAAAAAGGGGAGGGCAGACAGACAAATGTTTGCCTTGCTGCAGCTGACGGCGTCGGCGGCTTCGGGGCAAACACAATTTGAGGCGCAGGCGAAGCGCTGTGCAAACAATTAAAACGTAGCATAAATTTAGACGCCGACAAGTGGCAACAAACGCTCTGATACAAATGTATCTGCCAGATACAAATATGACTCTAGATACGAGTGTGGCACTTGTGGCATCAAGTTTCGCAAGCGCATTTTATTTAGGGGCACATAATTAGCTTTATTTGTGACTCTCAAACAGTCAAATGTTGCGTGTTCCAACCAGCTTCAACAAGTAGGTCAGATACAGAAAATATACAAATAGAAAAAAAAGTTAGATAAAAGAGAAATGAAGAAGACGGCGACGAGGCTGAATAGGTCAGTGTCCAGATCTTGGCAGTAATTTACGCAGCGCACGCAACATTTGGCAACAGATAAAAAAAAAAAACAACAAAAACCGAATGAAAAAATAAGAAACGAATTCCATTTGTTGCTTCCAGGTGTAAGGTTCATGTAACCCAGAGACAAAAAGAGGTCTCTGAGCCGGGTCGTAAATAAGTTTTCCAGTTGTCCGTCTTCTAGCGTCTATTGTGTGAATCTTTTTGTTGTTGAGGCAATTACTTTTGCGGCCAACTGTAAGTTGTGTGTGTTTAATTAACGTGCGACTTGCCCAACCTTTGTGGCCCAACATTTGTTGTCGCCCCATTGATCATTGGCTGTGGCACAGTCTGGCAACGCTGGCGCAAATGCAACACAGCGCGGCCCACTTAACAAGGATGGGCAAAATGGCCAAGTCACGCTCGCCATGCTCTAAATATCTGCGCTATAACCAGAAACCAAGTAGCGCTCATTCAAGTGGAAAATTTGAGTGCATAATACTCCAAATAAACATCTATATACATATCGCTAAATATCGTGCTTGCAATAGTTGCATATACGTAAGACTGACCAATGTAAATATTTGCTACATTTATACGGCACACGCTAATCAAAAGTTATTCACAATTTTCACTATTAGATGATCTCCGGACGCGATCTTATCCGGGCAAATGCTCATTTGTTTGGGTCTTCGTGTTGCGTCATAGTAGGCTGTCGGGCAATCGTGTTAGCACTTACAATGTGCGGAGAGAAAGAGAGCGAGAGTGTAGACTTTTAAAAGAGAGCCATAACATAATGTTTAACAAAAATTTGTGGCTTCGAGAAAAAAGGCTAATATAAATTGGGCTACAGACGGTTCAAGAGGCCAAAAGTTCCATAAAAGCAAGAAATGTACATTACTTTCTAGCTAATTCAAGCCCGCAGGAGATATTACATATTTATAACAGGCAAATTATTAATATTTCTTAATTTTCCACTGTGTTAATTGTATTTTTTTAACACTTACAACAACACAAAACAATTTGTCAGTGGATAAAAAAATGTTACATCATTTACATACTGGACTTACATAAGGCCGATTTGCTGCAACATTTTATGAAACGCAATGAATTATTACGAATTACTTTGAATGTAAGTTGCATTTTATAAATTAATGAGCCGCAGCCAACTTAGCGCGGCACTGAATAGTCTGGCAACGCTACATTTTCCTAAACTGTTTTAGAGCTCTTTGTCGCAAATGTGACAAAAGCAAAAGAAAACAAATTTATTTAAAATATACAACTATTTAGAAACTATTGTGTTTGACAAATTATTTATTTATTTATATAAGCATTGAATAATCAGGTAATTTAATATGTTTTAAATAAGCTCGTTTTGACTCATTAAATTGCAATTATTCACCAAGTTCTATTAAAGCATTTGCGCTTACTTAAAAGACTGAACAAATATATATTAACTGATGCTCTTTTTTGCTCGTCGTATCAGTCATGACTACAAAAACAATTTAAAATGAAATACTCTTTGAGCTTTTTGGGCAAGTGTCAATGCAGGTTTCAGAAAATACTATAAAGCGTGTGTTTTATGGCGCTGAATTTCTCGCCTTGGCAAAACCAAGCAACCCCATGGGGCATTAACTAGTTGAAGCGCTTAATATGCTTATGCTTTATGGCTCAGTGCATTATGTGAATTTAATGCAAAATTTCAGAGAGAGAGATAGAGAGAGAGAGAGATAGAAGACAACGTTTGAGATAGAGACAAGGCGTCTGGGTAAACGCGTCGTTAGTTTAAATGCAAATTTCTGTATTTGCCTTTTTAAGCCAATTTCCTAACGACGGCTGCCATTAAGGCCTAGACAAACAAAAGCTGAAAAAAAACGACAAAAGGTAGATTAAATTGATTAAAATGAATTAAAGCGTGTAAATAACCGCTGCGAGCTAGCTTCGAACAAAAAACTTTTGCTTTTTAGTAAGATTGATTAGCAGCAAACACTTTCAATTTCAAACGGACAGAGCAACAGAGAGAGAGAGGATATAAAACGAAGCGAAGAGAGTGAGAGCGCAATTAGCGGGCGTATCTTAACAATAAAACC